TATTTTAATTTTTTTTATTCAAATTAACAGAAATAAAAATGAAAAGATTTAAAATTATATCACGTTAAGTTAATTTGATTTTAATTGCAATAAAAATTTTTAATTTTAATTCTAAGTTCAAATCTATTTGCTTGCGCCCCATTGCAAAAGTTACTTGGTTTATAAATAACAAACTTCTCCAAGACGATGCGCAAATTAAAACCATACAAAAACCTACTATGATCTTTTACATGAGGTTTCACTGCAAACTTCAAACAAACACCAACCGCCTCATCTCACAGTTAGCTTCGGAGACACTCCCGGACACTCCGTCGAAACGTATCAAACGTAACTGGTGAAGAGACCTATACATAGACTTATCTTGTAAAACACATTGTATTATGATTGAACAATGAAACCTATTTTTAAACAATAATTAATGTGATTCGATTCTTCCTATATAATTTGATCAAATTTGCTACTTATTGTACATAGTAATATAAATATAGTAAATGCTATACAAACGGTTTTTTATAAAAAAAAAAAAAAAAAATGTATGTTTAAACCTTAACTGTATACAACGTGAAATCTACATATTTTAATTTTATTAATAGATTGAATAAATTTCTGAATTAAAATTTAACCTGAATTATTTGAATTACAGAAACAGTTAACTTTTAACCTGTATTAAATAACGATAATAAAGACGAGTCGATTAAATCAATTTAACGATTTTACTTTCAATTATTTAAACTTAACCGAATTAATTAACTGTCATGAACTTACCACATCAAAGCTGAAAACCTTGCACATTAAAAATAACTGGACATTTTAAACCCAACAATAATAATGTGCCATTGTAATGTAATTTTGAGTCACCCGGTGATTTCTTAATATTTTATCCACGTCACACTCGTTCGTTTTCGTTATAAGACTCTTCGGAGTTCTGTGTTGAATTTGTTTTTGAATAATAAATAATTGTCGTATTAAATACTATATAAGTGAATACAATATGCACATAGGTGTGTATAATATGACTATGTATAATAATAATAGAAAACCCGAGTAAAATTAAATGGCAAGTACCAACGTAAAACTCGCATGACAGGGAAAACGGTGAAGACGTTAGGTAAAAATAAATTAATAATATATTGTAATATATTCACGTGTTATTGAAAATAAAATAGTTATTTGTCGATATTACGGTTACGTAGAAAAATATAATTGTGCCCAAGCAGGTAGCTTTGGTACAATTCGTTTTTCTATTCCTTCTATTTTCGACGATTAATATTATTTGTTAATAATATGAATTGAAATTTTATATTTCACGGTGGCAATTATTGTTTTTTTTTTTTTTTCAAATGGCCCACAGAGACAACAATCAACGAGAGTTAATGAGACAGAATTTAAGGAATATATCCACGGAATCGGGCTTTAAACCTTTTTAATGGGGCTTAATCAATTTATTTTTAAAACGTCTATTGCAGGTTATAGGTTTTATATGTTCACCCATATAAAAGAGTGTTTTTGTCCATTTGTCGGTGTTTGCCCATTTATCCAAAGTTCATCCAATTTTCCGGGTACAATATACATACTTACCTACCTTTTTTCTACCCATTGTAAATTATATTTTACTCCGTCCAGATTCCCAATATACCTGTATATTATTTTATTATATAGATTTGAAAAATTCGTTTGCCTTCCTACGACTATTTCTGCATTTGAAAAAATAAAAATAAAAGTAAGACACGGTAGTATTATTGATATAGTAAAAACTAACATTTTTAAAAATCGATTTTAGAGATAAAAACCCGAAAACTAATCGTACGTTTTATATTCAAATATTAATATTATATTTAATATGCAATCAAGTTGTCATAAGAATTACAATAAATTAGATCACAGTGGCAGAACTGAAGCTAATTTAAGGAAGGGGTAAACTGAAAAAAATTACGGAGTTCCATTTCTTTAAAATATGCTGCGCATGCAGTTAAATACATTTAATTTACTTTTATAATAAAATGGTTTTATTATGATAGACCGTATAGATAAAAAGCTATTTAAGAAAAATAACTCCTCTCTATAAATCAATCACGAAACAATGATAAGGTAAGGATAGTCTATTATATATTAGTTCCAATAGTTAACAATTTAAAAAGTCCAAAGGGGTATTTTCTCCGTTACCCTCTCTCCCCCTGAAATCCGCCGCTATGAAAACTTTGTATTCGACCGCAGCGTCTAGTGATTTGTATATCATTTTAGTTTTTTTCTTAAAATGTATTTTCATACAGAGAAATTGAATTTTTCACCAAAAATAATAATTTCGTATTCTAATTTTTTTTTCCTCTGTTATTCCGCCCGCGGTGACTACATGGTAACAACACGCGGAACAACCTCGCCCGGGGCTGCGTTAGAAAATCCAAAATAACGTATGGTTATAGTAGTGTATTGAAATAGTATTTTATCAATAATATAATATTAATAAAGTTGACTCGATTTTGGTTTTCGAACGCGTCCCGGAGGTTCGACGACCTTGTTCGGTACAAGTATTACCGAGAAGTCATTTTAAACTACTTTTAGACGGCCCGACAATGATACAAGTTTATAATAAATGTTTGGTCAGAAACTAGGAAAGCCCATGGAACGTACTTCAGCGGCCCTTCGATGACCCTGGGATACGTGTGTTTCAGGTAACTGGTTAACTGATCGCCCATATGGAACCGCGGAATAACATGTGATGTTACGTTAAGAATTGACAAATTTGGAAAGTGACGTTTTTTAATTTCAAAAAAATTATATACTATTGATCGGTTTAGGATGTTGTAGGGCTCAGATTCAAATGCACCTAAAATCCGCCAAAAAAACTCGTAAAAATGGCAGAAATGGAAACTTAGGTTTTAAAAGTTCCCAACTAATTATTCTAAATTTATTATATATAATTGTGATCATTACAATTTCGTTGAAAAAAAATACATTTAATTGTGTTAATCATTTGTGTAGTGTTAGAAAATTGTATTGAATAGATATAAGAAACCACCTATCATTTTTTTCTTATTTAAATAGTTTTCAAGAGCTTTTTTGCAATAATTATTAAGCGGTTTTTTTTTTTTTTTTTTTGTGAATTTTTGAGAGCATTTTACATCTGGGGGGGGGCTATATTAATAACTATAATTTAAACGTATTACCCTTCAGATTTGTTTACAAATTCGAATTTCGAAATTACCGTAAAACCCCGGATTCCAGATTCGTACGTCACATGCAGACGCACTGATGCGTACACTCCAGGATTTGCGCGAGACCTCGCGTTATTACAAGACCGAAAATCCGTGGCGTTTCACACGAATAGCTTTTAGGAAAACAGATTAACCAGTTACCATTTTCTCGGAAAACGTTAATAACCCGCGGTCGACGACCACTCGTGGATTGCGGAAGCACGTTCCACGGGTTTTCTTAGTTTTTGATCAACCGAATATTATAACGTCATTGTCGGGTGTCTAAAAAAAAAAAAAAAGTTTCAAATTACTTTTCTATAATACTCGTCTGGAATAAGGTCGTTGAACCTTAGGAGTGCGTTCGAAAACTCGACGTGAGTCAACTTTATTATTGTGCTATAATAGTACTTTAATCTACCCTTACGCCACTCTGGATTCCAGATTCGTAAATCCTTGACGGCATGTACATTCCGGAATTTTTTTAATAAGTTTTTAATCAATTTATATAAATAAAATTGATCTAACTTTTTATTCCAGCCGATGGTATTTACACCGAGTCCGAGTGTAGCTAACCGATAAGACGCAATTTTCTACCAGGAACCATTACTTTTAAATTACATGGCTGGAAGGAGATTTCTGGCAAAAAACTTGTAAACATATGGAAAAAAAAAATTAAAAAGCATTCATCATAATAAACCACATTCCTTTGTTCACTCACTATCTATATTATTAAAATCTTTCTTTGATATTTCACCGTATACTTTAGTTATAGAATAATTATTGCTGTTTCAGATTTTTCAATCGGGCTTCGAACATTTTTGATTTTACTTATAAAACACTGCAGGGTCTGAAATACATTCGATTTCAGGTAACACACTTTTGAATTCTATATAAGAGTCGATAGATTTCCATAAACAAAAAAAAAATCGGTGAGGGGGGAAGAGGGCGTATAATTCTTTATACATTACTTAACTTACACATTTATATTATTTATACAAAGTGTGAACTAAATATCAACAGTTATCAACACAAATTAAGTACAGACAAAAGTCTAAAAAATTGTACTAATATAAAATAATTTAAAATTAATAAAATGTATTGATAAACATGAGATTATTGGTTGATTTGTTTGTTATCAACTTTACTGTTATTACTACAATAAAAACTAATATACACGTTATAAAACTTGGTACTCACAGACGCCACACTTTTATTTTCAAAGGACACGTTAGTTTAGGCCCCGGAACACTGTGTAACGGCGTGCAATTTTCTTGTCTTCGATCGAAATCGAAAGTATACGTACGATGCACGAGGTTCCGTCGTATGGATTTAAAGAAAAAAAAAAAACAAAGAGCTATCGATCGATTCAAATTATTAAATTGCGGTGACGTATAGGAATGATATTAGAGTAGAATCAGTACTCAATGTAATTAATTTATAAATTAAAATTAAAAAAAAAAAAATAATATTTATATATATATATACAAAAGAATATTATTATTTTGTTTAATGATTAACCATTTACACGAGTAGTTACTTAATCGTACATAATTTTATATTATATTTAAGACAAAAATTCAAAAAAAAAAAAAATTATAATTGTAATAAATAATATAAAATAACGGGAAACAAACAAAATATAAACACACTATTATTAATAATATCAATAATTAAATGCATACATTAACATAAAAACGTGCCTATACTTTAAAATATAATTTCATAATAAATTCATCCTATAATAATATTTAATTTATAATAATATTTAATTTATAATAATAACAATATTATACACATTTTCAAAAAAAAAAAAACATTTAATAATCATTTTAGTCGCATAATCGATAATGTTTTAAATAACTAAGTAATATGTGCGGGTGTTTTTTTTTTATTTTTATCATAATCCAGCGATTTTCTCGAAGAATTTTAAACAAAATGACTTATTTTAATACTGTTTAAAAAAAAAAAAAAAAAAAAAATCGTATTTCTATCTCTTCCATCTCCTCTATCTACCCGACACTATCATAAATAAGTATCAGCTTTAATTTTCAAATGGCAACTTATTTTGTCAATATATTTGAAAAAATATTTATTTTTTTACGGTGATTTTATTTCAGGCGGGTCTTTATATATTTATTTTTCTCGACACCTTCTCAAATATGAACAGATTCTCCTCATAGAATCGATTCGCAAACAACGTTTCCCAGGCATACATTGTACTATTCAGCCGTAAATAAGTATTTGCCCGATTTGTTGAGTTAAATCGGTGTTTGCCTACATTATATAATATTTATTACTATGAAATTTACAGTTGGCGTAATCGTTCCAGAGTATTTAAAATTGCCATTCCGTTTAAAGCGGTATAGTCCTCCGTTCAAATGATTTTTATCGATTATATGACGCGCCAAAAGCGTAACATTATGTTGCGTTTGTTTCATTGATTTTAATATCCATAATATTCGGACTAGATGAAGATTAAAATTTATGGCCATAAGCTTTAGAAAGGGTTATCATCTAAAAACGGATATGAAATTCATGAATGATTATATATCCCGTTAATAAATGTTGCGAATAACAAAGTTTTAGATAAACATTCGTATTTAGGACACCGATGTGAACAACGGCGTTTGAAAATAAAAATGTGATGCATATTGTTTTTGGTGAACGGGATAAGGGTCGAATTTCGAAAATATTATAAACAAGATCGTTTGACGGTTCTATAAAAAAACACAGAAAGAAAACCAATATTATTTTACCATAATCCTTTGTAGATAATCGCTGATATATGATAAAAAAAATTCCACCTAAATAATTCATATTATGCTGTGTAAAGTGTTGTAAAACCCGGACTCGATTCGCAGTTAGAAATGATAATAATTTTTGGCCGAGTTTCGTATTTTTAAATTCAAATTTGCAAAATATTATAAACCGTGCAAACAAGCGTCAAAGCGAGATTGTAGACTAATGTTTAACTACATACGAGAAATGGATTTAATAATTTATTTTAAATCGAATAACTTTTCCAATACAAAGTTTTGTACTTAACATTTCTTATTGGTTTTCAGAGGGTTTTAATAAATAAGAAAAAAAAATATATTAACCATGTCATTAAACAATTAAGAGTACATGTATAAACCCATAAGTGTATACGAAAAATAATAATATACAGGCCACAAAATGTTCCAAATTTTAGTCAAATTTTTCACAAACTATTTAATTTTTTTTAAAAAAAAATGACCCATTTAAAAATTTTTTGGAATTATATATTATAAAACATTATGTCCATACTTATTGTTTTCACTTTTATTTTCGGAGGTGAAACCCTTACCCACTTTTGATTTTGAAAATATAGCAACCAAATATTCCATAAATATATTGAGTTTTAGTTTAAATACTTTTTGGTGTTTTTAATTTCCATCAACCTGTGGAATGACGAGTCATTCCACTTTTAAGTTTGGGTGGCGAGAGATTAGTGAAGCACTGTTAAAACGCCGTCACGCGTCGTGCTTCTACAAAAATGACGCTCCACTGCTCTCCCCTGCTCGAATTTAAAAGTGAAATTTCTCGTCAACGGGTTGGTGGAAACTGAAAATTCCATCACCAAAATGTGTTTAAACTCAAACTTCATCTATTTATGGAATGTTTAATGTAGGTTACTGTGATAAAACCAAAAGCGGATAATATTTCCGTCCCCCCCCCAAAATAAGGGCAATGTAAAATTGTAAAATTTATGATTCCGAAACGTTTTTGCACAAATCATTTGTATGAAAAAATAAATATTTTATGAAAAAATCGATTGCAACATGCAATTTGGAAGGCCTGTAAAGTAAATATTCATTATAATTATGTTTAACAGTTTTATATATGTGTACTAATCTAAACGTTTTAAAATTTAAAAAAAAAAGTATTTGCATATATATGTGCAAATAAATTATATATTTATAATAAAAACACAATCGAAGTTTCTCTATTTCGGAAAACGAAAAATATATTATACAGGTCATAATATCATAATTATATCCTGTCACAATCATAGTATTATTTAATTCTGTAACGGCAATATAATAATAACATAATATTTGTATTCGAAGTTTTTTTGGTTTTTTTTTTTTTTTTTTACATTTTATATTTATTATTTACATAAAAGTTTTATACGTGTAATACAAGATCGTACAGGTAGAGTTCCAAATTGTCGACTATCTAAGCACATTCCACAATAGAACTGCTGCAGTGATCACTGTTGAATACGGTTTCCCGGTACACGTCAACTGGCATCCGGAATTTGGAGAAGTCACTGAAAAAATAAAAAAAACAATAATAAGAATATAAATAATGGTTATTTTATATTAATAGCTGGACAGTACTTGGACTAAAATATGAGCTATTATAAAACATTTTTTTTTATATACATTAAAATACAAACGAAATATACAATCTGTACCTTTTTGACAAATAATAATATAATATATGATAAATGCACAGCAGGTGAAATTTTTGAAGAGAGAAAATCACTCGGTGGAAAATGTATTCAAAGGCACTACCTCTTTTGTTATTTATATTTCAATTACTATTTTGAAGATCACGGCACCAATTTCTTTTGTGCCGTCTTTGAGGGTTACCGAGAATTGTGGGTATGGCTGGATTAGATATAAAGAGGTTGTGACCAATGGGAAAATATTTAGAGTAGAATCTTTAATAAAATGATACCGCTTCTTCATGCACAGTTTTAATTTTTAGATCTGTGTGGAGTGTTGGATTAGCGAAATATGGAGGGGTGTTGGTGATTTGGCGAAGGAAAATACTTTGAAAGGTTCGAATTTCGTTTAAATTAAATTTTTTAGCATCGATCTGTAACTAAAGTTCATAAGTCCGCATTAGCTTGGTTAAATATATGTTTTTGAGGAGACTTGTGTTAAGTTTCGTGTGATTGTTGTTAGAGATTAAAGTTTTCAGCATGCGGACGCACGTTTAAAGAGAGTGCTTAAAATTATTACATTAAAATTCAAACGAGAAAACCGGAGTCCTCGTATTTGGCGAGTAGCGTAGAACGTGTAAATGGATGATAGATAGTCGGAGGGGAAAAAATGAATGTAGAACGGAAAACGAGATGTCGTTTGATTTCGAGGAGGGAATCTGAAATAAATCGGGGGAAAACCAAGTTTAGGGGAATCGATGATACTGGCGAGAAGATTTTATCAAAATTACAAAAACCAACTTGTCTTACAGGGAAACTATTTGGAGAGAAAGGGACCGTAAGGATAAATAAGAGGTAAAACGTAGAAACGTATGCCGTACATTTGAACGTTGCCTGCAGTACAGCCAACGGCTGATGGTCTCTAGATGACAATATTACTATTGGACGTATAAAAATATTGTTTTTTTTTTTTTTTTTGGCATGGTAATATTGATTAAAAAACGAGAAATTGACCGCCACGATTTTGTTTATTATCTTATATCCTAACCATGCGTTAATTATTAACTGTGTCCCGGGCCCTTGTGTAACCGAACTTTAAATCCATCAATGGCACACAAAAGTTTTTCTTTTTTGCTATACTTATCTAATTATTAACACTAGTGAAGAACTAGTATTGAACTAGTGTTATTTACGTATGCATGTGAATACGTACAAATACGTGAAAAATAAAAAATAACGTAAAACACACGAACAAGTGAATGCATTTTATGGTATTTCACAGTTCACCTAATAACTCCAGTCTATATACATCTGTATATGTAGTCTATATACATACTATAATATTAATTTAATTATTTTAACTATAATTAATATACCATATTTAATAATAATATATAAATATAATTTAAACTTTTTTTTTCCATCGATCGATTCTACTTGTGATTTTTTAATTCTATAATAAAAAAGTTACGGATTTTAATAGCTTAGAGATGTATTGGTTTTACTACGATTTTTAATTTTTTTTTTTTTTTTTTTTTTTGTAAATAGCTTTTATACGAGAAATCTTGCTTCAAATAATTAAAGCATATAGTAGATCATCTTTTGATTTTTCTTGAAATTATTGAAATATTTGGAAAAACCGTAGAAAAAAACGTTGAAAAATTGAGAAAATTCACGTCAATAACGTTTTATTTTCGGTTTTGTCTTTTTTTTTAAAATAACTATAGAGACCGAAAAATTTCAATAAATAATTAAAATGACATTTTCTAGAAGCTGAAAAATACATTTTCAAAATGTTTTGATATTTTTGAGTTATTTATAAATACATAACATGTACATATACATCAGATACATCATACGATTTTCTCAAAAACATAAAAAATCGTAAACAGAATTTTTTTTTAAAGCATTTAACTTTTAAATTTCAATACTAATAATAATAATAATGCTGTAAAAATCACGGCATTTTAAAACGTGCTTAAACGAAAATCGATCGTTATTGTTTTGTGTAGGTGTGTAGGCATACATGTAAATTGAATTACTCTATAATAAATCTTACAGTCCCGATTTTCGTCCAATGACAATGGTACACCCGTTAGCAGTATTAGCTTTTTTATTTTTTTTCATTGGTTGCGGTATTTTTACATACAATGTAATAATGTATAATTGGTTTTATCGTAAGCTGGTTACTTGTAAAGTTGAAACAAGCGAATAAACGAAGTGGTGAAATCGGTTTACATACTTAGAACATTTTATCGTATAAAAAAAAAAAAAATTAAAATAAATTGACCGTAATAAATATAAGCAATAGTTTTTGTTTACAATACCGGTGTAAAATTAAAAGGAATAAACGAAACAAATAGGAAATATTTTATACGCCGATTATAAAATATTTTTGAATAACCTAACCTAATATCGTGCAGTTTCAAGTAAAATAATTTTCTATAAAAAAAATAAATATATTTATTAAGTACTTATGCCTCTGCTGAAAAACTGTACACGGTTGATTTTTTTTATTTTATCACGATTCATCCATTATTTATGGAGTTTGCGAATTAAAACGTTTGGTTATGATTTTATATACAGTTTTTTTTTTTAAATCATGATGCGTAAACATTCCGTAAACATCATCTTTTGATTTTCCTAGAATAACCCCGTTTTTAAAATCAGATTCGAAAGTGAACGGATTTGCGGTAACTATTTGTAAGGCGTGTTAAAGTAAAGTTTAAATTGGTCCTGTATACAAAATATTAATGAAATCGGAAAAAAAAACCGCTGAAATCAAATTTATTTAAAATAATCCGCCGGGAATTCGTTGGAAATGGATTAAAAAAAAATCCGCCCCGTATAACACACACACACACATATAATAATATCGTTTAATTGCAAAGAAAACTATTATTTTTAATTCGGAATATCTATTCGAATAAATTAAAAAAAAAGTATTCAGATTATACACAACGCTTCTGAAATTTACGACTAAAAATTGTATTAAATAAAATTATTACTGAATGGTTTTTAAACTGTATGTTATCGTTAATTGACAATAAGTATTGGATTATGCATCGAGAAAATTGAAAATCCATTAATTAAAATTTATTTCGCAAGCCTTTTCTTGTGCGTACAGCGTTACGATTACGGCGCGTCCGCGGGTAAACGAAATCATATTATTACAACACCTATAATATTAGATATTTATTTTTTTTTTTTGTATTTGTTGAACAATGGACGTACATTTCTCTATTCTAGATAGTATAATAACTGAATCGATTCGGCGCACTCGAAATTTGCCACCCTATGCGACCGCCTAATTAGCTACCGCATCGGGCCGGCCCTGCGGGTATTGGTAACTATCGTTGGTAATAATGTTATTACCATGACACAAAATGATTTTACAATATTAAACAAATATGTTGCACGGGAGAGTTTCACGTTGTAGTCAAATAGAAATTCGGCCACGTAATGTTATAACGTTCGTATAGGTGTAACAGGAACTCGTGTGCGATCGACCAAACAATTTAACAGTAAAATTCGTTGCGATTCGATTTTTTTTTTGTTAAATTTTTATCGAGCAACCAATATATAAATCACTGCGAATTTTGGTATTTTCGTTGAAATTTTTACTTCAAACCCTTATATATATATATATAAAACAAAAAAAAAAAAAAAAACGTGTAACGTTCAACCTTTTTTCCCCCGACCAATATCTGTGCTAAACAGGACTGCTTTTTATGTTATTTTAAACCGACGATATATTATCTTCAAAAATTTAATGTAAAAATAATTTGGTTTATCTTTTTTTTTTTTTTTAGTCATTTATAAACCATTTTAGCTATAGAGTTCTATTTACATTATTTTCCAAACGTGACCCCTATATATTTCGTTAAACGCTATATAAATATTCATTTTTTGTTTTTGCGTATCGTCCTGTATTTATTTTTTTTTTTCATCTCAGAAATGAGAAAATGTATTTCAAAAAATATATACGTACATACATTTTGTCCGGAAAACGTTTCTACACAATTATGTATTAATATAATATTATCGCGGCTGATAATTAAATAATTGTATTATTTCGTTAGTTTCGAATTTGACTAATTTTTATTTCTACATAAATCATGTAGATTGATCGTCTAATACTAGATATGAAAATCGAAAAATACTACTGATTGTATGTTTAAGATGCGTGGAAGGAACAAATTTAAAAACGGAACTGACGACCAGAAAGGCCAAATGCCAATGTTCGAATACTTAAAATACTCGAAATGCCGGTTCACGAAAAAAATAATCAAACAGTAATTACGAGAAAATAAATAGATATTAAACAGAACGTTATTGATGGTCGATTATCCTTATCTATTCTCTCGCGTATTTAACTATCTAATCGCACTCATTTTTTAGATTTGGAGCGTAACGAGGAATGTATTGGTTCTACAATGGTGGTTTTTATATATATACTGTCTACACATTTACTACCAGAAATCTTGCTCCGATGTAAAAAGTGTAGCAAGAAAGACAATTTTTGTCTAATTCGATATTTAGAAGGTTATTTCTTGATTTTCTAAGCGGTTTTCATAATGAATGTGAATAACCAGGAAAACGTAGAGATAAGCAGACAAATATTTACGTTGTAACGATTTCACAATTTTACATTTTTATAATTTTTGTTGTCTTCTAAAAATCTTGCTTCAACCAAAATAAAACAAGAGACCTTTTTGTTCGTTAAAGGTTTTCGTTAGCAATTGTTTATCGTTATTCATGGATATAAATTACATTTCTTTATGTACCCTACGTTTTCAACTTTCCACCCACAACAGTGCCACATCTGTTCCCAGTATCCATTTATCGGTTGTTTTCGTTAATTTATTAACAAATAATATAATTAATTAATAAATATCTCAATACACGTTTTATCGGAATTATTATATTTAACGTTCGATTTGTACGAGTTTTATTTTTATATGCAGTAATAGAGTGGTAAATTTGAATAATATTCTAGTATTGTTACTAAAAACACCGTGAAACTATACAGTACAATGAAATATCACAATCTTAATCGAAATAACAATTCCGACCGCGTCGACTAATGTTTTAATAATTTAATGATTACGGATATTGTATAGTACCAAATACTTCTTACAACGTTGTCTAAAACTAAGTCCAGTACACGTTCATTAATAATTACTATCCGCTGCTGGTGAAATTATTACACCTATGGTCATTCCGTGTTTGACCTTTTGTATTTTGTTTGTAGGTATTTAAATGACAATAGCCGGATGATAAATCGTAATATCTGTCGGGAGTTCGTTGGCTTCTGAATTACGCTTACGAATAGCACAGTGTCAGTACCTGTTCAGAAATTGAATATTTGCTGGTAGACATAACGAACTAATCAATTAATTGATGTTTCCTTCGAAAATGTGTTAAACTGAAAATACGTTTAAAAAAAATAATACGTGTACAATGAATATAAATAAATCAACAGTTACTATACGTGCTTTTAATTCTTTTATTTCAGAACTATACATTTATACATTGTATTTAGTATTTTTTTTTTAATTTTTAAATAATTAAATTTACTTTTGAACTCGTTATAGGTAGTTGCATGTAGATGTGAAAAAACTCGGATGTATTTAAAAAGTCGAGTAGATCTCCTCGTCCGAGAAGTGTTAACTATATACGTTACATTTTATTATTTTATTTTATTATTATAACAATGAAAAAATAAGTTCTATAAGCGAAACTCATTTACTAAATAATAAATCACAATCACATTTTGAAATTAAAAAAAAAACTTTTGCTTTCAGAAAAGAAAAAAAAAATGTCGCCTTGTGATTTTTATTTTATTTCTGGGGATGATTAGAATATAAATCAAAATATAATGTCTGACAAATATTAAATATTTTAATTCTAAAAATTACTTAATAATAAATTATATAAATCAGAATTCCACTCAAAGAACTCGACATTTTCTTTTCTTTTTTTCACGCAAAACCTTTTACGTTGAAATGTTACGAGTTTATGACATAAAATTTAAACCAAGACTTCCAAGAGTTTTTGTCATCGCTAGGGCTGTGAATTTATAGGAAATTGCGTTTTTTTTTTCTTGGTGATTGAAAAACGTAGCTTTGTGATTGCATAATTTAAATTATGTAATAACAAATCCATTTATGAAACTTTTATTTTGCATTTTTTAACGTTTTTAATTTATTAGGTCATTTTTATGCCATTTTAGGTCATATTTTCCTACCTAGTTCATTTTCCGGTATTTTTGATCAAATTCCGTCAGTTAGCATATTTGAAAACATTTTTTTTTTTAACAAAATAAATATATAAAAAAAAAAATTAAAAAAATGTTCAAGACGGATAGAATTATTAAAGAATAAACTTGAAATTTAAAATTTAAATTCAATCAACGTTTATATTAAATAAATTAATGTATATGCATATATTATACTAATATCAATATACATATACAAATCAAATTAAAACCATTTTAAGTGCATTTTATACTACAATTTTTGGCATTTTAAGGGTATATTTTATTGCATTTTTGACATTTTAAATGCATTTTTTAAGGTTTTTTTTAGTGCATTAAGTCCACAGCATAATCATCCCTAATTATTGTTGTGCTGTTTTAAAAAATATGAAATTGATAATAATTGAAATTAATACAAATTTACCGTGGGCTTACCTTTCCTCGCTAACTTCACTGAATGGGTGCAGTACCAGTGTTATGAGATAATCTTACGAGGAGGGGAAGGGGTTTAGATTATACTAGAAAAAATATTAGATTTTCCCAAAATCATACTAAGAAAATGTTATCGTTTACTATCACCTAAATCTTGTAAAAATATTAGGAGTTATGGTATTGGTACTCCTCTCGATACGTAAAGTTAGCGATGAAAGCAGAGACGTGTTTAGATATTTTGCGCCCCAGGTAAGAAAAACAAAATGTCCCTCCCCAATCCAAATTTCTTCGGAAATATATTTGTAAAAAACATCAGTTATTGTTATTATTAGTATTATTAATTGCAAAAAAAAAAAACAGATGATAGATTTAATAGACACTATTCATTAATTAAATTGCAACATCCTCTATAAGACAATTTTGTGCTGTGGGAGCAATTCTTACCAATTACAACTATACCAACGTAAAATAATATGTTATGATAAATGATATTAGAATATAAAAAATATAGTATACAATATTAAAACTAGAAAACTGGTTAAGATAATTAAGGAAAATTATAGCATAAGTAAATACGTAGTAATTAAATTTACTAATATAAATTTTATACTAAATAACTCTTAACATTGCTTTTGAAAGACTTTTAATTACGAAAATTATTTATATTAATATTTAGTTTTTAGCATAGTTTTAGACCATTGTAAAAAACACTCATTTGGTCAAAAACTTTATTATAACTGGGTAGGTAAACGTAAATTAATACATTCTTCGTTATACTCGAAATCTAAAGAGCATATTAGGTAAACATAAAAATAAATTCATTGGTATACAATATACAATGTATATTATATATGTATAATGTATATTATACATTATACTTAAGTGTAGAACGTGCATTTATTAAAAATTGTACAAAATGTATAAAAAGTACAAAATTATATGTTAAGTTAGGAAATGCTGTTTTTTAAAAATTATGGAACAGAAAAATATTAAACACTCTGAAAGTTTGAACGTAATTCACTATCACAATTCACAAATCAATTAAAAAATAAATAATATAAATACAAACCAATTCTATACAATACAATAAAAATAATAATTTTAAGCATAGTATAAAATATAATAATATTTGTGATTACTAGAACCTGGATTTCTATCCAAAAAGTGTTGTAAAAATATGTACACATTTATGCACGTTATCACTGATTACGAGTAAATAAACGTGTTAATGATTTAAACCAGTGACCACTATAATATTATATACTTTTCCATGTCTTGGTATCATAGAATGCAAAAAAAATGATTTGTTTAATCAGTTAAAAAACCTAAAATATTATATCAAAATGCTCGCCAAAATGTACCGCTCTAAAATATTGTCACCCGGGGCACAAGCACTCTCTGGCACCCCTAAATACGTCACTGGGTGAAAAGTAAGCCCCCACGTAATTGTATTCTGGACACTGGCCAGAGTATTTATTTTGCTAATCTTACCGTTTGCCAACACTAATTTATTAGGTACTAAATATTGTTATTGAAGAAAAATTAGTGTTTAGTTTTTCCACTCACTTCACGGACTTTGCAATTTCTATTGTCTTTTTATTCTATGGTTTATAACAGGCTATTCAGATCATTCGCACGCATAATTCTTTCTTTTCTGTCATAAGCTAATTCTTTAACATTTTTTAGCCTTAACAATTATAGATGTTCCTAACTATGCAGTTTAACCATTACCGGAGTTGACTTTTAATATTATTCAAAATTATAGTTGATTTATGAATGTAGTAGAATGGAATTGGTAAATTTACATAAATTTCGTGAAAAAATCCACTTTTTTTGATCGTGTCGAACAATTTGAACATTTTATACAAATAAAACGGACGAATGATCATACAAGACTATTTCAAAACATCGAGTATTTAAAATTCTAATTTAAAGAGGATTTATTTAAAAATCGTTAACTTAAGTAGATAAGTATTAGATTCGTATTGAATTAGTATTAAAAAATATTATATGCGATAAAATATTTAAAAATACAAACATCGAAACATCGAAATGCGTTAAACAACAAAACTTTTCGTTAAAACAATATTAATGCTTAGATAAAAAAATGTTTATAATTCAATGACAATTGAAAATATTTTCTTAACCTAGAATATGGCCTGCAGTTGGACAATGAATTGACCAAACCTATTTTAAAGAAAAATGCATACTAGAAAACTTGTTGGCTTGAATTTATTATTAAAGACAATATTATTATTACTGTAATATATTTGTTGTACGCATATTTAAAAACGTGTTTAGTGACTTTTTTGTACGGTCAATATTAAAATTAATGTTTGTGCTGAAAATGTACCGTTCGTTTCCTATGTACTATATGGTTGTATACTATTATACAACATAATGTATAATTATTCAATTTACCGTTAAATGAGGTATTTAAATAATTCATTGAGCAATTGTGCGTGTGTGTAAACGAATTACTCGACATGAAAATGTGCCAATATCATAATAATTATAATTATATTCTAGTTTGTTTCAATAAATAAAAAAAATAATACACTGTGAGTAAATATATTCTGAATTATTGCGTATAATTAGGTATTAGGCACATATTTATTATTTTAACATTCCCTACCCGTACGACTGTCGTACCTATGTCTTATAATATATTATAATATTATGAATGAATATGACGTACCCATAAGCTGCAAGTGATTGAAAAAAAAAATAAATTATAAAAAATATAAATTGAAAATACTGCGGTATTTTTGTAATTAACTTCCTTTTATTAATTCATTTTTTATTATTATATTATTATTTTTTTTTTTTTATGAAATACCTACAAAGAATTTATTAAACGAATAATTAAAAAATAATAATAGCGTGTCATTTTAATAAACCGCAGTTCATTATAATAATGTTAAACAGGTAGGGTATTGATGATATAATCTATAACAGTAGGTGTGTACTAAATACAACGACATATTATTACAAACAAATAAAAATTCTGATAATGAAGGTTATTTATATTATAGACATGGCTTGCTAAATTTTAAATCGTATTCATGTTTAACATAACTGTTCTCAATTGGTTGTGACTTATTTAAGATGTTCTTCGTCTTGTTAACAATCTCACATGATTGGTTTGTATTGCAGCTTTCTATAGTTCCATGGTGTAGATAAGTTTTTTAGACCTTTGTATTTTTTGCCATTCGTGTCATTTACGATTCGGATAATACATATATGTATATATATGTTTACCTATTATTCTGCAATTGATATTCTCACTCATCCTTCAAAATCTCATTTAATTATTGATTTTAGTAAGTTTTTATATATCAATGTAATATAACATCTTATCACCTCACCTCGTCTACATCGATTACATTTCCATAAGTTTTCCTATGTTCTGTTTAAAATTCTTTGGGATTTTTATAATTTTTCTAAAGTATTGTAATTTTTCGAAGGCCGTTAGTTTACTTTTTCCAACTGAGTTAATTATCCAGGTTTCGCAACTATAACCAGTGTCACATTCCACATGTACACATTTATGAATATCTTTATTTTGGAAGGCCCTTTTTCGGTAGCTCAGTCCTATTAATTATTAAGTACGTTCCGCTGCGATAATCTATTTTTATATTACTTCCTCAATATACGAAATATTGCAATATTGTTATTTCCGCTCGTTATCCAAACGAATAAAAGCAAACATTATTTTAACTCGAAAAAAAAAAAAAATTTGAAAATAAATTATTCAGTTAATATTTGGATATCCTAAATCGTGTGTAACAATAAAAAACATCTTTCTATACGAATATATTATCATAAGTACTAAACTCGCTAACACACGACTTTTAGCAGAACGTAATAATAATTTTATTTATCGTTTTGATATTATCAACATATGTTACGTACTCAGTCTCATTCAATACGATTTTCGTTTACATTCGCATAATCAAAACACCATCGCCCTTCGGTGTTGATAAAACGATATTCCGTTAGAAAAATAATATTTATTTCGGTGTTTTTTTTTTTTTTTTTAAAGGTAAGTGTAATAATATTGTCATAAATTATCTATTTACTATAAGTACGAGATTATGAAAAATGTTGACATTTTCTTTATAAAAAAAATAGTGTCAAATATAAAGTATATTTATCTCACTTTATATACTTATTATTATTTTAAAAAGGTCATATCCTACGATTATAAATAAATGTATATAATATAATAGTGGCATAAAAAGTTTTTAAAAAAACTTATATTTTACGAAGAAAAGTTAAATGAAAATATTCAAAGTAATTTAATATAAAAGTATTCACCACCGCATTTCGCTTTTAAATGAAATTGTATACACAGTATATTATGTTTTAGAAATATAAGCACCTATAATGATTCGTTCAAAACAGCTCAGTATATAAGTAGGTAAGTAGGAAGGAAGGTAATTCACTTGCAGAATACATGAAATGTAACTAAACAAACACATTGTTCAAATGTATAGTAAATAGTAATTTATGCAGTTTAAAATACTTGTACATGTTCAAGTATAGGTACTATAGATTTAGCTATAATATATATTTTCAAATAATTACTCAAGGGTTTAAGGGTTTTGTTGTAAAAATGACACGTTCAATAATCAAAAATAATCATATGCGTATAGAAAGAATTAGGGATAGGTACTTAAAAATTAGATAAGAACTGTTATGATAAATTCAGAGAATATAGTATTCTAAGTGAAGTTCGGTTAAACGTTTTTTTTTTTCTTTTTCGACAAATTTAAATTTAAAATTATATTAACTCGCTAGCAAAAATAGATTAAATCAAAATTTCATAATTATTTGTCATACTATTATATATTGTTAGGTATTTTGTTAAACATATTTTTTAAATTGTAGTGAAACCAAAACCGTTATTAATGTGACGTATGCCTGTGCTGTTAGATTGTTTGCAAAATTCAAAATATTAATCTCGTTATAATTAATATATTGTATTCCAAAACCTATAACTATACTTTTGATTTGACATTAGAAATAATGACAAACCATAAATTTGATATAATATACTGTGCGTTACCCTACTTTGAAAATCGGGTTTGATACGTGAGTATAATATACGCGGTCCAAATTAATCAATGGTGAACATCCATTACAAAAACGGTTAGCTCGAGTTTTCAAAATATACGAACACAATACAAATTACCACGCTCGTTTATACTTACATAGAAAAATAATTTGTACTCGGATGTAGCGAAGTGCACGGACAACTTAATGCATTTCAAAAATGATTTTTCAAACCCAGCCATTCCGAGTCCAATTGATTAATTCGTTTTATTTATTTTCCTCGTAGTTTGTTTATCCGCTTCTATTTGCATAAAATACGAATACCTGCTATTCTATTGTACTATAGTCTCCAATAGTTACAAAAAACAGAATACGTATAAAGTAGGTATACCGACGTGTACCACCGTGACCTATACAATTTTTAAACGCAATCGTTGATACGAATTAAACATATAATTAAAACAGAATGGCTTTGTATTCAATTCACTGTGGCTAACAAATATTATAATTGTACGGTACCGCAGGAATATTAATTTTATTTAAATTTGTGGTGAACACGGGGAAGGCAAAAAAAAAAAAACAAACAAACGATAGCACTTTAGAACTTAGGAATTCGAAGCCTTAGAAATATCAGTGTACAAATTTTCACGAAGGCAATTTTATTGTGTAATAGTAATTTAGAGTCCAATTTGTTTGAATATGAATAAATCAACTCGATAAAATAATTTAGGGTTGTGAATTAGTAAAATAACGCAATAAACTTAAAAATAAATCACATACAATTAGATCATGCGCTTAAAATTTCGAAAAATTATTTACCGAAATGCAATAAATTGTATATTTTCTATATTATATAGCGTAACTATTTTCAATCGGTTTACGAAAATAATGCTTCTGTTTCCGAAAGACTCGGAACAGGTCTATGCAACCAGATGATGCGATTTATCTACCTGTCGGTTATATTGTATCAGACTGTTCTATCCACGCGTTTCAAGGCACCATAAGATATGTCTCCTGCTATTTGGTCCGGAGGCTACATCCATTGGATCAAAAGCCTGAACATTGATTTATAATACCCGAGACATCAATATCTGTTAACAAATTACCACTTGGCCTACTGCTGTTGATTATCACGTTAGTTTTGATTCGTGTTAAATTTATTTGATTTGATTTTCATTAATTTTATATTATTATGTTGCTATTATATTGCTACTGTTAAATGTACGATACCATAAAAGTGGATATTTATGTACAAAAAAGATAATATAATTATATAGTGTTGCACGAATAATCTTTGATAAAACTCCAGAGGTCGGGATTAAATAATGTGATTATTTTTACCTATATTCGTAAATTTCTTATAGTTTCAACCGGTTGCAGTTTATCGACTGGTCGTTGATGTAATATAAGAAACGTCAAACAGTGGCGGGTGTCAATGTCGACCTCAAATCGTAAACTCTCAATGACAACATATTTTATCATATATCGATATCGAGGACTACCAGTTGCCCGCTATTATGCACACAGTATCTACGGTATATAGACTCGAAAACATTCATAATATACTTCAATGCTTATAACTATTTGACTAAAACAACATCAATTAATTATGCATACTCGTGCGTAGAAAGCAAATACATTTCCGACATAGCTGTCAAGAAGAAAAAAAAGGATACCGATCGCGCGGGTAAGCCACTGTTGTAGGGGGATAGTTGTGATTGTTGGAAAGGTAGGATATACAATGTGATTTAATTTAAATGCCATGTGCAACGATCCGTCATTGCGAAACAATCCTGAGCAGAGTGGTATTAGTCGTGTTTTAACTCGGATTAGTGCCGTTAAGGAATCAACAACAATCAAAGAACCAAAACAAATATACAGGGTAAAAATGCGAACAATTTTAATACATTTTTTAAATAAATAACCACTGAAGGGCAGAGTACTACTGGTAGTTAATGCGGGAAAACATGTCAATCATCGACTTAACCGAACAATCGGTATAAAAAAAAAAAACCACAAAACCAATTTTTTGGAAAACGTATTGGGAATTTCGAAAAATGTTTAAAAATAATGTACCATCAAACAATCCGCATCTTAATGTGCGTCGTGAAAAATTTGGAGTGTTTTTACTACACGCAGCTTTGTATAACGAATAACTTCTTCACTACACTCGAATTTAAAAAAAAAAAAAAAAAACAATGTTTCGGCGATTATTGTATCGATTGGATATCTTTTCCCAATTACTCTACTCGCATCACATGCATGGTACAAAAATATAAACATTTTAGACAGTGAAGTGTTCATTATAATATGGAAAACACAAGTGTGTATATATTTTACGAACAGTTTTTTGTTTATATACATAGGTAAAATAATGTTGTACGTCAGTCACGTTGCATTCAAAATATTGATCACAAAATGGATTGGTTTTAATAGACTTTTTGCTGCGATATTTTCAAAAAGAGAATGTATAATTTCGTTTTGATCTAACGCTTGTTAATATTTATGAGCCACGCTATTAAAGTTTACGGGAGAGGTGGTTTAAATTATGGATTTTTTTTTTTTTGTTTTTGTTTTGTTTTGTTTTTTTTTTTTATCACAGGACGTTCAATGGCAATAAGTTGAAAAAAATAAAAAAAAAATAAAGACAAACGTCCATAAAGAAAATGAAAATGAAGAATAAAACACCGTCGCGGGTTATCCTTCAAGGGTATAATATAATTCCTACTATGGATTCGTTACTTCGTAATTTTATTTCCAATATAAAAAAAAAAAAAAAAAAAAAAAAAAAAAAAAAAAAAAAAACCAACATCGGATAATAAAATTATACATCGATAAATCATCATGGGTTTTTATTTCTTATTATTATTATTTTCACACATTTTTATCGTTATTAGGTTTAAAAACTTAATTTTGACACGTAAAAGTTTGCACAGGCGGCGGCGTATGTATATACGTATGTGTATAATTTACAACCCGACCCGTTTTGGAGTATAATATGCGTTCAATATTGATGTATTAACACTATATATTATAACCGACCGTTTACAATATTTTCACGAATAATATACAATTTTTACATCCTCGAATTTCATTCACATTGAAGTGTTTTTAACATATTATAAAAAAAAAAAAAATATTTTGTACACAAATATTAAACAATTTGTCAGCGGGTTTTTTTTTTTTTTAAAATTGAATGATCACTAAAATTCATATTTTTTTTAACTGTTTTGCCATCCACGAAAAGATTTCAATACTTTGGTTCATTATAGCCGCTAATAAAAATAATTTCCTAGTTTTTTTTTTTATAAATTATAATAATATTGTGTAGAAGATTATTTTTAAAACGATTACCTATTTAGTTATATATCTGTGCATTAGCTTAAGAAATCTTTACGGATTATTGGGAATTATCAATAAGTATGTTAAGTTGTTATTTTGTTTTGTTTATGAAACAAAAAAAAAAATTCTTCAATATCACTGGTTATACGCTTGAGTACTGATTACATGACTGCGTACTTTTGTGGACTTTTTTTTTAGTGGAGAGTATACACAGTACACATTGAATAATCGAAAAAATAATGTTGTTTGTGATCACAAAAATATGACTTATTTGAACGGTTTAAAAAATATCTTTGATAAAAAAAATTAATCTGTTAGGAACAAGGGCATAGGTGCTTACTTTATAGCTACGAATAGATTATAATTATTAAAGGGTGGACCGAGGATTTATCAATGGAGGTGGGGGTTTTTGGGAGTCTAGGGGGATTAAGAAGTCTACAACCTTTCCTTCAAACCTTCTCTAAAGCTGAAAAAAGAAAAATAAGACGATAAAACACCTGAAACCCTATTCGGCTACGTCATTTATAATTATTACGATTTATCATATAATGTTGATATACATGAAAATATCAGGGTTTTAAATATTTGTAAGTATTTTTAAACACTAACAATTATTGGACAAAGGAAATATTTCTTCAATAATGTTTAAAAAATGTGCGTCACGCATTAATAAAATTCTTAAAGTTCACAATCATTGTAAAACACTAGAGTAGAATTACATGTTTATAACTATTATAAGACCAGATTTTAATTATAGTTGCGAGGCTTCAACGACGATTAAACAGAAATCACATAGAGAGAAGGTTAAAAGCATTTAAGAATACAATATGGAAGAAAATAAATGAACATATCTCTATCGATGAAGCAATGGTGGACTAGTGAAGGAATTTTAACAGACAGTTATACGAATGGCCGAACTCGCATTAGTTGGAAGCTTCATAAGGGACAAAGGATATAGTTGATAGGTCCGAATAATTAGGAGTAGAGAGAACGAAATAGTTTGGTAACAATGGGATGGAATCCCTAAAAAAGAAAAGCCTAGAAAGACCCATAAAATGATGGATTTACGAAATTTAAAAAGTTTAGGAAATTAAAAACTGGACGGAGATAGATGCAAAATTTAAACAGTTGATGGAGTTTAGATAAGACGAAAAAACTCATAAAAAAAAGTAGGTATGCCCAGTCGTTAAAGTGGAAAAAATTCGAAAAGGGCTATTTATTCCGAGAACTAACTAAGCCTAACTAAACTTTCAGGATACCCACTATGAATACAAGACTTACAAAATATTTTTCTCTCTCACTCAATTTATATTATACATATTCTACTAATAAGGTTTAAAATTCCCTCCTCAAATATTATTATACGCATATCCTGGTCAGTAAAAATAAATTAGAAAGTCAAAACGGATTCTAATTACGTACAATCGAATTATCGGTATTAAAGAATTTATTAAAAATATATCTGATTACTGTATTTTAAATTCCAATAAAAATGGCTCAGTGACAATTATCAAAGCGTTCCATCGGACTTCAGAGATATAAACTAAAACAGACCGATAATTAAATAAGAAGGAGACATGCGAAAAATTCGCACATTAATGTTGTTATAGCGCGTTTTATGCATAGCATCGTTATTCCACTATTACAAGCTTTCACGTCTTTACGTAAAACTAACATTCGTTTCTTTAAAATCGTGAATTTGATAAATCCGTGTACACGCGTGTTCTCGTATTTTAATATAAATAAGTAGTTATCCAGGATTCCTACAATGTAATAATAGTAGCCAGTAAGTAGATAATAATAATCAGATTATCGACTCGAATTCGGCATTGGCAAATACGTAAAGCCCGGTTATCTCCTTATTTAGAGTCACACTGTATTACCTAGGTACTTCATAACGATCGCTTAATATCCGCGAATGCGTGAATAACACTAAAACACGTGAACACGGATGTTAAATTCGGGTGTATTAATTAAAAGGTGAAAACGTATTAATTCGCGTTTTAAATCGCAACCTATAGTTTCTTATAGCACGATGAGGATCGTGTAAAGCAAACAGTCGAAATATTGTGTATGTTTCACAAACAAATTCATCGACAATTTAAAAACAACACATCATCCTCTGATACACCGAAAGTGGGCCATTTAAACGGTCATAATTTGTAGCCATGAATAAAAAAAAAATTAAACGTTCATTTATATCGTATCGGTGGCGTGACCGAAGTTACGGTTGTTACAGTATAAAGTAATTAAATAATATTGCTCGTTAGTGATAATATCGTTAATCGAATAAATTTCCTCGGTTGGCGATATTTCAGTCGTTCGTCCCAAAATCGTATGTATATAGGCACTCGTGTGTTCATTTTTCACGCCTTGTCGATCGCAAATCAAACGCCCTTTGTTATACAACAGCTAAATTCACGATATAACAGGACGAAAAAAAAAAATGGAAAAAACGGTATTTACGTTGCTATGGAAGCTATGAAATATTCATCGTGCTTCGTATTAACGAACGCTTTTCACATCGATATTTTTTTGACTCGTATTATTTAATATTATTAGAACGGTTTCGACGCCGTCGTCGATAATAATATTATAAAATCATCGTTCACGGACACTTTTCGACGGTGTTAAATAATATTATACTTGGTTACGTATAAAAGATATTTTTAAATTTCACACGACAGAATATAATATATACGATATAATATAATAATATTATACGAAAGTTCGTAAGATACGTGTAACCTTATCCTCCGCTACACATATATAAATTATTGCGAACGTGCAAAAACTACAGACCGATCGCGATTATTTTCCACGTAATAATAATATATCCACAAGATCGGGAAAATTATTGATATTTTTTGCTTTCACAAAATAAAAAAAAATGATAATAATAATATGAATTCCGTATATTACGTAGCTGTAGGTAATCTGGTTTGTTTGATTTGCCCCCGTCTAATATAAAATACAGGGTTATTGTATAATTATCACGACCCAGCGTTTATCCGTACGGAGATATTAAAATGTTGAGTAACATTAATTTCGGTTTTATCAATCGGTACAGAATTGTTCAATACACAAATATTGTAAATAAGATAGAATATACATTATTATAGCGTCTGAATAAAACCAAAATCGAATTTCTCTCAGATCTTCCTAGAAATTTAATAACTGCCGTTTGGTAATAAAACACCCGATCCGTGTAATAATGTACTGAGTGTTGAAAAAAAAGAGTATATTATCTACAATTATTTTAACGAAACATAATATAAAAATACAGAATAAAAAATAGCTGATACAAGGGGATGGAAGCTGCCACTGTTCTTGGTGAAAAGTTGGAAAGGTAGGATACATAAGGTTACTTCATTTACATCTGTAAGCAATGATAAACCAATACTTGACAAAAGATGACTCTGAGCGCAATTCGATAATACACAATTTGAAGTGCTGTGTTTTTTTTCTAGCGATTTTCGTTTAAACTTGATTTAAAAACGCTTACTAAAAAAAAAAAAAAGTCATCCGATTATTTTGGAAATTTTACTACGTCTAGATAAGTTCAATATAAATATTATTACCAAGTTTCAAGTCTCTACGTTTTTTTTATAACCGAATTACAGCAAAATAACTACCAAAAATTAAAATTCTTTAAAAGCTCAAACGTTGCTTAACAATTTCGGAAATGATACCGTAAGAAAGTAAATCAAAAAGGCAACAGAAAATAAATTTTGTGATATTTTGATTAAATCAATTTTACTAATAGAAAACGTCGTCTGTGTTTCTATAAAATAATGAAATCATGAAATTGTACGTTGTTTTACGTTTTTTCTCATTTAAGTGCTTTTATTTAAAAAATGGCATCAAAAATCGAAAATTCGCCAATTTTGAGTACAATCTAAACCACTCGAGCTTTTAAAAAAAGTTGTTACATGTAAAAATCGGAGCAAGTTTTCTAGGGAAAAACGTGTCCACAGACTAGAACAATAGAAAATTAAACAGCATTGGAAAACTAATAGCCCCTTGCTACGCTCGGAATCTAAAAAGAAAAGAAAATAAACATCTTAGTAAAACCAATACATTCCTCGCTACACGCAGAATCTAAAATAAAATACTATGAATGCCATTGAAACGAATTTTGTTTTGTTTCTCACGTAGTTTTTCCATTGTTTTGACACCTCGAAAGTTGTTATCTAACCCATTGTATCAACGACAGTAATTTGATTTACATTAATAAAATATCAGTTTGGAATGATTCATTAAATATAGTTTTTGACATTTTTATTGTATTATGGGAACATTGAAAATTGCACGTACGCGTAAAGAATATTCCACGTGTCAGTAAATCAAACGATATATTTTTATAACGGTTGAAATAGTTTTACAGTTGAAAATACTTGCAAGATATTTACCATATATGAAATAATGGAATATTAATATCGAACAATCGACTAGTAAATATTTAGTCATACTTTGAGCTATTTTTTAAAGCTATTCACCATTTTCAAAATGTATAGATAAAGTAGATTAGGTAGCGAGGAAACGCATTGGTTTTACTATGATCCGTGCGTTTTAATTTAATTATTTTTTCTGTTAGCCAGCAAATTGTCTACCAGAAATCAAGCTCCAATCAAATATTGACAACAGACTTATTTATGTTACATTTTGGATCTCGTTGGTGCAACGAAAACGTAATTGCAAGATTTTCCAAGCGGTTTTCATGATAATCGGGTAAAAATGGACAAACAGTTATGGATTAAACATTATATTGTTTTAAATTTTTACCAGTAATAACGCACTGTAATTCGAATGTAGCATCTTTAGTGAAAAAAAATATTAACTGCTCGATGTCGTTTGTTAATTTACTATGTAGGTTCGTATACTTTTCTTCAATGGAATAGTTTTGCAATTTGTATCAATAGGTTATAAGAATTATTCATATATTGTCAATGTATCCTGTTGATTAATTCTAAACAATTTTTCATCTCATCTTTATCAAGAGCCGTGGCGCACTGCTCGGGCTTAAATAAATAAAAACTACAAAAATGAAACTTTTACTTTCCATGTTCGCCGTCTTTTATTTTAGGTCATTTTTAAAGGTATTATTTCGTTAAAAGACATTTTTAAAAAATCCATTTATGACTGTTTTTTAGAATATCTTTCGATAGCTTAATCTTTCATTTAAGATATGTCCGAACCCTAATATTATGTTACATCAATTCGACAAGGCTATAAATATTTTCACAAACGACGGTTCATCATCTTTCAGATTTATCTCTTTATTTCTCCGCAGTCGTAGTAAGATAATTTATAGAACTTTCTGAAATCGTTTATAGGAATATTGTCAACTAGCATCGGGCTCGTCATCGATCTACGAGAAACGGCTAAGGGGAGAAACCTGCAAAACAATATCGGACACAGATGGGCTGGAAAAAATATTACGCGTAAATGACGATAGTGCCATCAGCCATCACCACAATTGCAAATGTTCCAAAAATGAATTTCATCGATTTATGTTAAATTTTTTTTGCCACGCGTAAATGTTCAAAAATTGTACACTAGGTTGACAATGTGTATTGTTCAATATTCATATTATATATACAAATGTATTTAAGAGTAATATAATTAATAAAACTGCTTCATTTTTTTTTCACAAGCGTTTAAATTCGAAATTTAATTTGAGGTACGATTTTCAAATTATTCTGCTTTTTTTTTATTAGTTTTTTATGACGTGAAAATTAAAGTTGTAATTGTTTTGTTTTGTGTGGATACAATTTCAAAATCTATTGTTATCAGCGTTTTTAGTTTAAATTCATGTTGAAATTCGTTAAAATGTAATTAAATTTGTATTTAAAAATCAATACGATTCACAAAATATGAAACTCGCAGAGTATCGTGTTTCGTTCGCAATGGGATTCGTCATTGCTTAAAGATATATTTGTTAAATTTGTTTGAACTATTCTATATATACCAACAACGGTGGCCCACTTGGCACGCTAAGTATGATGATTTTTTTTTTCAAATTTGTATTCGCATTGTTGAATTATAACTCTCGGCAACGTTTTGGTTTTCTTTCTTATTCGCTTTCGATCACACATTATAAACTCGAGTACCTGTGCGAGCAAATAGGAATACTTGTAGTACCTATACAATATGTAGGTATTACTTATACTTGTTACTGAGAGCTCTACTTTTTTTTTTTTTTTATGTTTAGTTCAAATATTATATTAAATTATATATTATATATAATACATGTATATATACATTAAACAGTATATAAAAAAAACTTAATCATCAAATATGTGCACTGCAGTGCAGGCAACTTGAAGCATTATAATTGACTCAAGGAAATCGTTCGAACGATATTCAGAATTATACGGTAATAATAAAATTATTACACAATTTAAATTACACTGACCTTTCTCGGGCACCGGTTCTGTAGATTTTATCGGCAACTGGAGTTCCGACGACTGCTTATACAGAGTGTTTATCAGAGCGGTGCACTGCAGTAAAAGCTTACGGCCGTCTTTGAAATGACTTTGATCTAACTTCAAGGATACCGTCAACCTACTCTTTTGCAAGTTGTTCGGAACGGCGAATTTCACCGTTTCCGGGCCGCCGATCTGCAATCAAAATAATAATAATAAACTATAGGTTATTTTTTTTTGCGATAAAAATAAGAAAATAAAACCGTCTTAAATGTTTATATAATAATTTATTGCTCCATAAACGAACAGATTAACAATGATTTTGTTTTTTGTTTTAACCATTTTAATCATTAAACCTACTAAACACAGAGTGCTCCAAATTTTATGGCAAGGTTTTGAAAATAAGGATTACAGGTAATCCATTAATTCTATTCCTAAAACTGTGACACAAAATTACAGGCACTTAAAAGGGCAACAATTTTGAGAAGTAGGGGAGTGATAAATAAACAAATTTAAGATTTTAAACTATACTGAATGTAACTGAACTATTTGATATTTATACATTTAACTACAATATAAAAATGTCAAGTAGTCCTGTTAAACTCTGTATAGATCACATATTATTTGTAAAAAGTAGCATTTCGTGAGGTTGGGGAGGTAAACACCTTACCCTCGATTTATACAAGAAAGATTCTGTATATCTGAATTCACCCTTGTTAGTTGTAGACACCTGTATTTCAACGGTATCGTATCATCCCCCCTTTTTTTTAATAATTCATTTACTGTTTATAAATTTCCTGTAATTATTGTATTTTTTATAAATATTTAGAGATAATATTTATTACAAAACCATCTTATCAGTCATTTACAATATTATTGTACTAATTGTGTAATTATTTATTTATAATATCAAATAAATTGATTGAAAGAATAAGTATCAATAAGAATTATACCTCTTTGAAATTTCAACCTGAAAATACGTTGAATAATTTTATACCTATCCCTTCTCCCCAATATAAAAATGCTGGGTACGCTATTGTTGTCGATATAATATACACATATTATCAGTGGCGGATCTAGAGGACCGATTTCCACAGCACGTTCCCTATCACTTACTCATATATTCTTAATCTCATTACACTAATAGCTTGATTCATCGTTGAGCTCGTTATAAGTGTAAACCTTATATGCATTTTCAAAATGCTTCCCTCTCGTTATCTTGTCCTGGATCCGGTCCTGCATATTACACGATCCTATTTACGGATTAAGGAATATAAAGGCAACAGGTTATTTGGTCGATTTACGGCCGAGAAAACCCAGTATACTACACTGACGGGATCGTACCGGTATAAATCACGCTGTGAATTGGATTTAGTAGGTCCTAGAAAAAATATTACCGACTACATAGGTCCCGAATACAATTATTTGAACACGGTTTAGCCCTGCGTGGATATTATCTACATGGTATTTGAGTTTTACGAGGTCAGATGTCGTAGGCATTTGTATTTTTTTCCCCTATTGGTCCAATATAAGTTTAACATTAGCTAAAAATATTTGTTTTAAACTATTGTTTGACTGAATACACTTGATTTTTGTTTTGCGAGTTTTCTTTGTTCGGCGCTTTTTTCCGTAATTGAAACATTTCAAAAGTTATTTTAAACGAATATGTGTATTAAATGAAATTAATAAAATAAAATTACAATACTAAACAACAATACGTTTCTTTAAGTATTAGTGGTATTTCTTTACAGTATTTTTAGTGTTTTTTCAAAATCGTGTTTATAGAAATATCACTAAAGAGGTATATTAAAGTTGTAATGTATAAGCGGAGATTTTAATGTAATATAATATAATTTTAAATGATAAAACGTACGTCCATTCATTTTTTGTTAATCCAAAAGTATTTAAAAGACTAGGTACACTAATTTTTAATTTTTTTTTTTTAACTTTTAAAAGTAAAATTAATCTTATAAACAATTTTGTTTGAATGAAATAAATAAAAAATATCTTTTAAAGTATTTGTAATAACGATATTGAAAAAAAATATATGCGATTCAAGTATAATGAGATGTTAATAAATCAGCCCTTAAATTATAATGTTTTTTTTGGTTCTCAAAATTGTAATGTTTTGAGACAAAATATTAATTCAAGGATTTTTTTTTATAACTTAATAAAATTAAACAACTGTACTCGGGCCGAATTGTATTCTTAACGATTATTCGTTAAGAAAAAAAAATGAAAAGAAAATACATTATTTTTTTTATGAACGAATACATACATTATACAAAAATAAAGATATTCACTAGTGATGATTTATGATTTCTGAAATGTGCACGGTCGTTGAATTCAATGAATTAAGCACTACACGAAAATGATCGAATAAGCAAATTTCATAATATATTATATATTTATGTCACTATATTATAATATGTATTTAAGCGAAATTCTCTTCAAGATAATAATATACAAGTGCAGTGTATAAAAACAGGGCTTGAAATCTGAAAATTTAATTATCAAAACATAAAATGAAATCGTAACTTTATGCGTTAAAATATTTGTTAACATTTTTTATAAAATAGAATTTTTAAATACCGCAAATATACAAAGCTTAAATATGGAATAATATCTTTGGTCTCGGGAAAAAAGGGCTCTAGTCAATTTCGTAGTTTTCATTATTGCTATATCACATAGTAGACTAATTGAATCGATTATTTCGGAAAACTTCTAAGTAAAGACGAAATGTACATAAGGCCATAGAAAAGAAACTAAGGAATTGGTTTTCAGTGAGATTTCAGTTGTACGCTGTACGACTACCTTCACTAATTGTAAATTAACTTAAAATATTTTATTTCGATTTTTTGACGTTTAGGAGGTTTCTGAATTACATAAGCTATTCGATTACCAAATAGCCTAACCTAAATATAGCATTCTAAATTGCTTAAATCATACAATTATTTATGACTTATAACTTTCTTCCAAACAGAGTGTACATCAAAGTGACTTAAGATGTTTAAATTTTCAGTAGGTATAGCACACCTTAGAATATACATATACATTTGGACCAAAAACATAAAGGGGAACAAATAACATAAGATAATATTATACATGTATATATATATATAAAAGACTTAAAACTAACCTGAGATAATCTTCCCTGGAACCAAAGATACAACATAAGCATACCAACATCCGGCATACTTTAGAATAATTATGTAAACGAGTCCGAAATCGTTTCCAATGTATTTTGCTTTATATCAAGCCGTTTTAAAAAAAAATTGATTTAATATTTTCCAGTGTGCGTCGCGTAAAGTAATAGTACAACTATACTAAAGCTCAAACAGATTTCATTAAACTTAATATTTCAATTTCGGTATGGATTAACGAGAGATCTAAAAATTTAAATTAACGAAATGAAAATGTTTTAAAAATAGATTACACATGGGGGCGTATGGGTAACTATATATTTTACAATTATTGATTTTCAAATACAGATGATCGTATATTTTTAAACACCGACTAGCCGCAAAAATACTTTTCTAAACATTTTGATACGTACGACACTTAACACTATCGGATTTATGACATGTCTAATGATATAACACATAACACATTACGCCGAACGAGTATATAAGTAAGAGTTATCAGCTACATACAATTATTATGATATTACCCGATCATACGTATTCGGTGTGAGTTTGCAACGAATATAGTTTTGCCGTACCAAACACTCAAGCAAATATATTAATTAACTTATCTCTACTCTTTTGGAAGTTTAGGACGACTACATCACAAGAATACGCGATTCTCAAACTTCACACTGTAGATACCTAAGTACGGTTATTCGGTCCGCCATTACCGACAGCGACGAAGCCGCCGAATTTTAATGTTGGAATTGTTATTTTTCGTTCATCGATTAGCCATCGTATACAATTAACCACCGTCAAAGATTCAAGTTTATTTAATAATATAAAATATCACCCCGGAAATTATATCCAAAAATGTTTGTTTTACGCGAACACGTCATTATGAACGAATTGCACGATAAATAATATCAAGATGATAATAGGACGCGTAATAACGTGTTTAATAACGTATTTTTTGAAAATGATTGTGGCAATTTTCGATTCGTTCAAATTTTATTCTTCTCTTCTCAAAAAAAAAAAAAAAAAAATCTTAAATTACATACGGGCCGTTTGACGTCCTCTTGTCTTACTACAGATAACTATAGTATGACTATTTATAGTTGTAAAAAAAAAAAAATCAAAAAATCACCCCGTATTATTATAATGGTGATTGTACGTTGTACGCATATGCACAGAGCGCACCAATATAATATTATAAACCTAAACCGTATTGGTATTAAACTCGTCGTACCGAACCATCCTCGCCTATAAATAGAAGGCATAGACATAGAGGTAGGTGTATGTATATACATATATAGGTAATATAGTGTGTTTGTCTCTGTACAAAACCCATTTTCGTCTGCCAGTCCCGGCACTCGAACGTAAAGTGCATTCTGGATAAAACAATAATAATGTGAATAATTAATGGACGCAAACGCCAAACGCTCTTCACACTAACGGTTTGTTACTATCTATGTAATAATATATACATATAGGTGTGTGACTTTTAGCCGCGCGGCATCTTATTATTATTATTATTACTTCTTTTCGTTCTGACGAACGCAGGCTTATGAAAACAAAACAAAAAAACAAAAAAACAAAATAGAAATACTTCATCGCAAACGGAAAATAAACTGTGAATAGACATTTTTCTTATGAACAATAATACAGCGTATTTAAACGAATCGTTTTTCCCTCATAATTTCCCGGAAAATTTCAACGTCATTCTGAACATTATCAAGCGATAAATATTTATATACAAATATTTAAAACTCGTTGATTTCGGTTTGTACTCTAATTATACCACCGCCGCCGCGACGACAAATAATTAAAATTACATATAATTAGTTGAAAAGAAAAAACGAAATAAAACGATGCTCCACGAAATTGTATATATATATACAATTTTTTTTTCGTTAGCCCGTTTAACTTCTACTTTTTTTATTTAATTAACTTAAGTGGATTTTTTCTACGTAGTCGAGGGAACTAACGAATCGATAAAAAAAAAAAAAAAAAAAAACAAAATTCAAATGTGGACCTCTCTTAGGGTCAGGATATGGCAATTAAAATTTAAAAATAATATATCAATATGTTGTCGGACTACCACTTGATCTGTTAGATTCTGTTTTCATATTCAAAAATGGTTCTATTGATATTGTTCAAGACTGGCGTAATAGTGATATTTTATTGATAATTTTTTTCCTATTATCTCGAAATAACTGTGGAATTTCAATACAATTTCTTACTAATAGCACCGACCAAATAAAAAAAAAAAAACGGATAATAGGGACGGGTGTGCCACTGTTGTAGGTGGGAAGTTGGGAAGGTAGGATACATAAACGTATTTAATTGATAGCTGTAAGCAACGATAAACGATTGTTTACGAAAAAGTAGCGGAGTTCGGTTATACGTGTATTGAATCCCATAATATTTATGATTTTCGTTAATATTTTCTACCGAAAACCACACGTGATATCGATGATGGGAACAATGCTTTTGGTAGAAAGTAAAATTTCAGTGGCGTATTTAACTTATCTTAACATAGAGGACAAACGAAGGCCCACTTAAGGGAGAGCTATATGACTCAAGCCCCTTTAATGATTTATACAATTATTTGTTCCAAATCCTAGTATTTGGCTCAAATTAATTAATTTTAATTATTAATTGTATTTCTTTGAACTCCCCTCCCCCTGATAGACAGCTAGGTGGTACATGGGTTTTATAACAGTTAAGTGTAGCATGAAAATTAGCAAGAAGCATACCATTACCCTTCTTTGGTAGTTTTATTAGCTACGTCAAGAGCAAGCTATGGTTAGAGAAAGTTCTTTTCCTTACAATAATATAATATTCATTTTTCAAGTAACATAATACGTAAACAATACATTAATGAAAACACTGAAAACTTCCAAAGAACAAAGATTGTCAACGCACGATACAAATCAAGAATGTGGAAGGTCGTTTACTTATCAAGGTATCAACGATAGTACCTAACACAGAAGATAACTTATGTAAACTGTTGTTGCTATCTGCAAACGAGCTCGGAGGTCTAAAAAGAAGCGTTCTTAAGGCTGGTAAAGAGGTACAGCCGACGACATTTTAAGGTTATGATAAGTGATTTCCAACACCAAGATAATATGACGTGGTCGTGGCGTGCATTTGCATGACAGAAAATATTTTAAATTTTTATCATATGGAAGAAATAATGACAAAATTCAAGAAATATAAATAATTTACGTAAAAGAATGAGTGATAAAAATAAATCAAATTGTTGTAATTTTGTTTTAATAAATAAAAAATATAGCAAATATTTTGTTATACAAATAAATTGTTTATGTGGAGGGGGTGATCGCCACCGTCGCACCCTTTAAATACGCTGCTGATTGGTTTACAAATACATACACAAAAGCATACATAATAGTAAAGCCAATAAAATGCTAGACTACAGACTACCTTTAGAATCTAATAATAAACATTGATAAAATGCCGGTTTTTTTTCCACATACCTACGGATACGTAATAATCGAACAACGAATGCGGAATTAAACGCGAGCAAATGTTTGTATAATTTATTTCAGCATTTTACTAGCGACGATAAGTTCTTTCGGGCAAACGCGATTGCCGAACGAGCCGTAACAAAAATATTTATGGAACATTAAACGCAATTCCATATAGAATATAATGTATACATTCGTACATACCAATATCGATGTAAACCATCACCGGGTTATAAACGACCGAATTTTTATATCACGTTTTCAGATACCATATACGCGCAAATGTAATATTATACTTATATGTACCTATTATGCGCACAATCAAAATGCATACTGGTATTATGTGTATTATTTTGTTAAAAACCAAAACGGCAGCAATCTGTGGCGGCGCACTAACCGTAAAAATAATCGACAATCGACAAGGGAATCAATTACGCTGGGCGTTCGGGTAGCGTAATTGCAGACGGTCCGGTCCGAAAGGTCGCAGTCCGTCGTGATTTTTCATCGATTATAGGTATTAGATTTACACATAGGACACCGACTTCCTTGAAGCAGTGTGTAGGTATTGGATTTGGACCAAGCACGTTCCGTTTTGTAAATCCCTTAAATCTCCTAACTCGTCTGAACACCAATAATTATAGGTTACGTCTCGGTTTTGGCTCGGAAACAGTCTGTATATACGCGTACGGGTACCATACTTTTGTATTCATGAACATTCTACGAGTAGGTTACGTAAAAGCCGACGTCCTATATTTCGGTTTTTGCTTTTGTAGGTCCGAATCGATGACCGTTTTTTTTTTTTTAGATCCAAAAGGAATTTGTTTTACTACGAGACGTGTTTTTATTATTTATTTCTTCTGTTTGTTTAAATCTATTATACCGGAAATATTGCTTCGATCATCGATTTCAGAGGGCGGTTTCTAGCAATAAATTGTATCTGTAGTTTTCTAACATTTGTACACACTACACATTCATTCACACATACACATCAATTTTCCATACTACTGTCGTTCGACCTTCTGAGTATCGCCGTATTTCCTACCACGTACCGTAGTTTAAGAGCCGCTGATCTAATGTATCGAGGGGACAATTTGTTTATATTTCTTGTAGTCTTCTTAATAATTAAAGAAAACTGGGAAAAAATAGAAATACTTAAAAACAATAACGAATCGTGTTATTTTTTATTTAACTTTTTATTGTAATTTAGTTAACAATAAACGTCGAGATCAGGCATGTACTCTAATACTTAAAGACAGTAAACTTTCTATACGTGGTCAAATTTTCAAAACACTGTTAATTGTTGAGCAGTTTATAGCCATTTAGAGTTTTCGAGTTTTATAATTGTATTTGGTTTTATTTTTTTATTTTTTAGGTGGTTAGATGAGAAGGTAGAATACACAAGATAATATATTCTATATGCAGGGTTTTATAGGGTATATACATGTTTTACCAATTTAAGAAATTAGCATATCTAAAATGTTACGTCACTATTATTTTTTGTCATCCTTTATTAGGGGGGGGGGGGGGGGAAACGACTACCAAATATTGATTTTTGATAGATAGAGTATTATTTTTAATAATTGTTGATATTAAAATTTATGATTTTCATCAACCCGTTCATGAGATATTACACTTTTAAGTTTAATTAGGGGAAACTGGGAGAGTAATGAAACACTATTCAAATGCCGTGTGCCATGCTGCCACACAGATAACACTCCTCTACTTTTCTCCTACCCAAACATAAAAATAAAATATCTCGTGAACAGGTTGACGGAAAACAATAATTTTAACACCAAAATGTATTTAAACCAATACCTAGTCTATCTATAAATAAAGTTTTAACATATAGTTAGGTTACCATTTGAAAATCAAGTTTGTAGTCGTTTCACCACCAACATATAAGGTTGACAAAAAAATAATAGTGATGTAAAATTTTAGATCTACTTATTTATTAAATTGTCAAAAATTGTTTTTTTTTTTTTTTTAAGTCTATACTTTGCGAAATAATATGTGTTCAATGATAAAAGAATCACCCTGTATTGTGTTAAACAACAAATCATTTTTAACAATGGTATTATAGTTTTTTTTTTCATGTCATAGCCAAGGGAACTCAGAAATTTACAAAAATTACACTGATATATCGACATTTGTTGTTAGTTTTTTTAAAATGTGTAGGGAAAATGCGGGGAGTCTTCAAATTAAGTACTACCGGATGAAAAATCCGCCTGTAAAAAGCGAATAATCGTTATTGAAAACCTTCTTACTAGCCGAAAAAGTACATTTCGAGACAAAAAAAAGTCCCAGTGGGTGAATAATTTAACAGTTTGATAAATGTTTCATGTAAAGTACCGCCGGGCAAAAAATCCGCCTCTTTTGGAGTACTGCGAGAACAAATTTGTGCATTGGCCTTACTAAAAAATGATCTTTTTTTAAAAAAAAACGGAACATAAACAATTGTTTGGTAAAAAGTATTAGGAATTTCGATAAATGTTTCAAACGAAGTAATGTCGAGAAAAAAATGATTATCTTTGAAGATATGACACGAACAAATTTCCGAGGAAAAAAACATATCATAGTAAAACTAATACCTTCTTCGCTACATTCATAACATAAAATTTAAGAATCTATTGTAAACAATGGTATGCTACAAATGTTTATTATTTGAATAACATCATATTGCGTACAATAATATAATAAATCTGTTTCCTGCCCTAAATGTTTTATGGTAAACGGTTTACATGCGTTTTTATAGCGATCCGCAAACTGTGACGGTAGATGTACAAATGAAAACCAAACCTATAAAAACTCGTTGCGGAATCGATATTCAAAATTTAATATTTTCTAAAATTAAAAATTAATAAAATCAACTTTGTTCGTTTTTTATTTTTCAGAGTGCCTAATTTTAACTCTCGACAAAACCGAACACTGCGTGAGGCAATCATTTTAAATATTTTGTATCGTAACGCGCAGGACCACCCGGCGTCGTAGGAGTTACCTACGTCCAATGACTCAACTAAAACAATACTTTTTTAACAAAATAATACAAATTTTTTGACTCGATAAAATATCCGAATTCTGTATCGCATAATATATGTACCAGCAATTTTGTGTCTTGCGTGTATGTCTGACTGATATTAAAATTAAATTATCAGATTTTAAAACGATAGTATATTACTATTGTCGCGTTATCGAAAAACTAAACACAACACGTTACATATTCCTTTTTTTTCATGTTCGGTGTTGAAAATTCGGTTCCTTTTTCATCACAAAAAACAATCTTATTGACATTCTACGTCTAGTTAAACGTTCGATTGGAAACGATTTTCGATAGTTTCCGATATCTCAGGTAGCAAGTGTGTCGTTACCGACGATTTATTTATTTAACAATTTGACAATATCAGAAGACGGACAGTCCCATTTGTAATAACTTTTCGGAAAACAAATGTTAAAAAACGTTTTTAACATATTGAGAATATCAAAATAAATCTATTTTAAAATTAATTTAGCTGCATTTATGAAACGTGGTAAATACTACGCTGTTTTATCCGATTTGATTTTTACCTTTTCTCCAGCAATGCGAGCTGTTTGTAACCTAATTTTTCTAAGTTACATGTTTTTTTTTTGAGACATCCGTTAGTATCACGACGGATTTAGCTTATCTTTTGACCTAAATTGTCCAGCATTCTTCACGTTGTAAAAATATCCATACGGATAATCGGATTTGTCTCGCTGTTGCACAGAAAAATTAAAGAATAATATATGAAATCAGAAATCATCAAAACGTAAATTTTGCAAAAAGTAATGATATTATATGGCTTGTTTGGTTTATTTTATAGATTGATCAGTTTCGATTGTAAAAACACATCATTTTATACGTTGCACGCATTTATATGGTTTTTGCAATTTTTATTTTTTTATACAGAAACACTCGCAAATTAAGAACAAATTATATTTGATGTATTATCACCACAATATATGTAATTGTATATTTGTATTGGTGGATCCGAATAATAACTACTTATAGTCTATACCAAAATGCGTTTCATGAGTCAAGACCTAACAATTCTGTACCTAAATAAAATTGAATTTGCATTTTGGTTTTTTTTTTTTTAGGGCATATTATTTTTGAAATTTCTAAAATTTTAGATTTATTTCTAGTTTACTTAAAAGAATGGTTTCTGATAGCATTGTAGTACCCGAGTTTTAGAAAAAAAAAATAACAACTTCACTCAAACGACTAATTATTTCTGAGTTTTCAATTTTATCACGAACTCCTGGTTTTTTTTTTCAAGAAATTATTTTTAGGCCATGCTTTCGGTAACATTTAGGTCATAACCGCGTGCATTCCTTTTTGATACGATATAATATTATAATATTCTCTGCCTTGCCAATGATTGACGATTAATGTATAATATGCGGCTATAGTATAGTTTTTTTACATTTTTCTTCGCAACATTCGGACGGTTGAGTTTTGTAAAAACACCGACCGTAAGAGTAATTCGCAGTCCTCCACTCGAAGCGGACAATCGCACAATCATTAACAGTATTAACGGACAATAAGGTTTTTTTCCACGACCACTCGACCTAACGAGGATAACATTTTTTTTCTGTTCCCCTCCGAATTACGCGCGTATAGTTCTCCCGCACTCGTGGCCGGCGACGGTCTTGTTCGGCACGTTCCCGTCGTTGAATTTTTTTTACTACCATCGTATTTTTATCATTATATTATGACGTTAAAATCGTGACACAATAATGTGCGGTAGGGCTATATATATACATGGCTATTATTATTATTATTATTATCATTATTTCCACCCCTCGAGATAGGGGTGATAGTATGACGTGTTTATTCAAATGCCGAAGAGTACATTATATAGGTATATGTATACGCATAATACTTACCTAGTTGTTTTCTATACTCGTATACGCGATGTGTATAAATTATTTACTAATTACAAAGGGTTTCGGTTTGTGCTTTCTTCTCTCTCTCTCTCTCTCGCACACTCTCTCTCGAAAATCTGCAACTCCTTATTTTTATACTCTGGCAAGTTCAAGTGTCCACTTAACTGGTCTCGTTAGTGTCGTGGCCGCCGCATAAACACACGAGTTGTTCAATGAGACGTGCATTTTTCGAAAACACGGAGAGAATAGTAGGGGCACCGCTACAAGACGTAACGAGGTGGCCAGCATAAGGAAATAAAAAAAAAAAAAAAATCCGGCCACACTTCGCACCGTCGTTGAAAGTGAGAAATTAGGTAGCTAGAAGGTAAATTTATTGTATATCAGTACGCGGCGATTAACCATTGCTAACGAAAAACGATTCTAACCGGAGTTCGGTTGACAGTGTTGCTTTGACAACAATATATATTTCTTATTATGGTAAAATAATTGCCTACATATGTATTAAACATTTTCTTCAGTAATACTTGTTTAATATTATACACATTTTTCTGTTTTCCTCCGTTTTTCCAATTTATTTGGAAAAATCCTGGGAAAACTAAAAAATGACACTCTTAAAGTATCTTCACAGTCAGAATTACTTTTAGAAAAAGTGTCATAATTGTAAATCAGAGCGAAATTGCTGGTAGAGAGTGTTCACGGATAATAAGTAAATAAATATCAGTTTAAAATCAATATATTCCTCCCTCCTCTCAGAATCGAATAATGATACTCCGAGAGTATGTTATAATAAAACTGAGAACGTGATCCGATGACATTTCATTAACTTTTTTCGCCATCAATATCGTCAGTGCATTTTTTAGACAATTTTTTTTCAAAAAAAAACAAAAACACTAATATGACATAATATTGAAAACATAATTAAAATTAAGAATTAATAATAAATTAATTTATAGGTTTATATATATTTTTTAAGGAATTTATTTTGAGTTACAATAAAATAATTTGAGCGCATTATAAGAAGTTCAAAACGGTTTTGCATAAATGCCATTACATTTTTCTTTTTCTGTTTATTTCTTCTTCGGGTTTTCAATAGTTTTTCAATTTTCTCGAAACCTACTGGGAAATTACACAAATAACTTGTACCACATGTTTATAATTTCCAATCGATAGAAAAGTTATATACAAACTTTTGAACAACTCTTTCCTTTAATAAATAAAAATAATAATTCTTGGAGCTAAATAATAATTAATTCGAAAAATTACAACATTTCGAAACTACCATTTTTTACATCCATCCTATCCGATCTATTTATCGTAATATCTTTTCTTTTTTTTTTTTAACTGTATTGTATTGAAATTACAAATAAAAGTTTCTCTTATTGTAACAATAAGTTTTCAACTAAAGATAATTCACGAGAGACTGTATACGATAAACAATGATAACATCCTTTTCCTATGTGTAAAAAAAAAGGAATAAAATTATCTTACAAAAATATAATATCGTTCTAATACCAATATCTGTTTATTTTAAAACTAATTTAAAAAGTTTAAAATTGGTTTTTTTTTCGTTATTTCTTTAAATGTATTATTTTTTTCAAAAGTACCTAAACTTTAAGTTTTCTATATCGAAACATTTAAATAATAAAATATCGTTGTGCAGTAAATGATTCAACTGTGAATAAACAAAACTCAACGGTTGTTATTATAACAAACATATTAGACACATGCGATAAAAATATTACTCAAGAATAATAATACAATATAATAATAATGATTATAAAGAGATTTAATTTCATGATAATGATATTATTCTTACTACCCCGCAGAGAGAGCGCAAAATAAATGATATTTAATTTTTTAGGAAATACGTATATATATATAAAAAAAAAAAAAAAAACGAATTCAGAATTTTGTTTATTATTTTTAATGTACTAGTATTATGATTATTATAGGCTTATATACAAGTCTATAATAAATTATGCACAATTTATATAGTCTGTATTAAATATTATATTTGTGTAGCCTTAAAATTAAAAATGTTCCCGGAAATATCGACAATCAGAAAATGATATATCATTGCTTAGGACTAGTAGTTACATGTTATCATTTCATAACGATATGCCTAACGGGGTATGATGGCTATGATTATGTTTGAACATTAGGCATTGATAAGGCCGTACCCTAGGGCCGGTTTTGGGTACACCCTCCCTCCCAACTAAAATTACTTTCCAGTTATTGTTTTGGGCACTGAGTGTTACATGATTATGTTTATATAATAAAGAATATTATAGTATACACAAAAGTTTTCTTACTTTTTTTTTTTTACCAGTTGTTTTAGGATCTTTTAATACCTAAGCATAATTAAAAAAATTTCAAAATTTACCATGACAACTTTGTGTAACCTCTGTATCCCGAACTGTCAACAGTTTTTTCGCTTGACCTTCTTGGATCATAAAATAGAAGCCAATTCGAGCAACTGGCTTATCCTGTTTTGTTTTGCACGGATTTATTTCTGTTCTTATGGATAAGGTTTCGATACCATTGCGGAATAAAATACAGAAATGAAAACAAATAATACACAATGATATCAATTCCAAACCGTAATTGTAATATAATTTTTCTAAATTGTCAATATTTCTGGTAACCATTTACTTTAGCAATCATGATGATTAAACATCCTCGGTAAACGCTGAAAAAAAAAAATTGTACAGATAACCTTTTTCCTAAAACTCTTTGAACGGTAGTAGGAGTTTTTTTTTTTTATTTATCGAGTTTTGTAGACATCTGAAATAATTATTTACTAAAACGAAGACGCATTTATAACTTATGATTAAAACAAGGATGTCTTCGTTTATTTTGATATATTTTTAACGCGTAGGTATAAATTGGGGAATTTAAAAAATCGAGTCCGAGTTTAAACTTTAAACTTATACCAAATGAACAAAAATTATACTCCTGAAAACGTAATTATCATAATGTTCAATAGTATATTTTAACGAAGCGAAAATTAAATCGAAAACTTTTGTGACCTTTATAGTGAAGACTTATGAATATTCATATTTAAATAATATTACATCATATTAAAATTAAACAATATATTTGAATTGAACGAGTTTAATAATATATGATAGGTAGAGGTACTAGCTGTTACTTCGTCCACGTAGCATTTTATGTCATCTCTACAGGGTGCACTAAATTATAGTCTAGTCTCTCTGTGTATAGCAATAGGAAATAGTGCTGCAGTCATTCACCCAAGTTATAATATGTTGCATTTACTAGTGATAGCAGTTGGATTTCGGATGTTTGAATAATATGTTTACCGAATACTTTTCTTCTGCCGAAATAAATATTAAAAAAAAAAAAAAATAAATAAATAAATAAATAAATAGATAAATAAATTATTGTTATAGATAAAATGGGAATAAAATATGTAATAGCGAAAATTGTAAACTATTTTTTTATTAGCCATCTTTAAAATTTGGCATGATTCCTCGCAAAATTACAGCGTGCTGTCTTGCGAATGCACAATAATAACAAACGAATTCTTTTATACTTGTACACATAAAAAACAACAACGATGCCCGTACGGACTGACGTTTTCAGGTTATTCCAAGGTGGTAAAATGAATTTCGTTAACTATTATCAGAACAGCAAATAGACGCACGAAGGTAATACATAATATTGTGTACAATATGAAATACAAATTATAATTCGCCCGGTACTCCGAAGAGTTTACGGTAAAACAATACGCGGCGGGAACCGACGTAGACAGCTTAGGAGTGTTGAGTTTGGGGACGGCGCGGCATACGTAGCCCGTGTAGGCGTCCGGCGGGAACGGCGGTGGCAGTCGTTCCGGGTAGTGACTAGTGGCGGTCCTTGTGGCAGTCATCGGTCAGCGGTGGCGGCTGCGACCCGCAGGCGAACCGAGACGTTTCGGCGTCGTAAACCGCACGGACGGTTGCCGTTTCGGCCGCAGAACATCAGAGGTGTCGCGGACGGCGCGGAACGCGGCTACGCAGGGAGCGTAGCTTGTGCACTGGGCCCGGTGATTCTCGGAACGTAGGCACGGCGATGACCGAGTTGGCAGTTGGCCACCTCGAGGTGATCATCCGTCCGGCACTCGCGCACAGCGCGGCGATGTCGGCCGTGCAACGGGACGGGTTTCGTTTGCCACTCGCGCAGATGATTCGACCGTCGGCGACGGTTCGCGGCGGTAACAATGGTCGCGCACGATCGTCTTTAACGGTGTCCCAAGAAGGGAACGGATCGGGGTTCCGAAACACGGGGGGTGGGGAGGGGGTGACCGGCGCTTTTGGGTTGACCGTAGTGAGTGTTCGGAAACGCGGCGCGTCACCGGCCCCCGTCTATTGGCGACGCCCGGGTGCGGCGTCGTCGTCCGGTCGGTACGCGTTGCGGTACGATGTCGCCGGGCGCGTCGCTCACGCGCCACAGAGTGTAGACAGACCGGCGGTTTCGTTACAAATCATAAACCGTTATTGGATTCCATCACAGATTATAGCACTGTAATTGTATTCCTATTAATAATTATAATATTGTTGTTTTTTTTTTTTTTAAATTTCATTTGCCTTAGACTTTTCCTTAGCAAAACGATATGCCGTACTGTATTAATAACGATAATCTCATAGTTCGCGATATTTCATTAGTCTATCGATACAACTTGCTCTTTTACGGGCCCTTAATGTTTTATGGCCGTTGATTACCGATTGTGATAACCGATCGTTAAATTGGCTACGCTCAACGCGCCGTATAATATTATTACAATCGTCCGTGTGATATGTACAAGACAAGTACAAGATAAGACGAGTGCCTATATAGGCACCAGTGCAACTAGTTGCGCTTTTCATTTTATCCCTTTCTTTCCATTTATTTTTTTTTTTTTGTCATTTACATTTATTTCAAATTCGTCGTTTTTGATTTGTTTTTAATTCGACTAAAATTAAGGTCGTTAATATATGTACCCATATGTTTTAGTATTTAATAATGTTGGCTAGATAAGAACCGTTGTCTCATACACAAGTCCGGGCTTTTCGAAACAATCATTTACACCGTTTGTTCCTTTTAACCAGTCGATGTGTATGCGTTATGATTTTTTTTTTTTTGTAAACGCGAAAAATCACAATTATAAATCGTATACGGGCTGCGCAACGTCTTGAAAACCAGCGGCTGCGAAACGAACCGAACGCCGTCCCCGATTTCGGCGCGACCTTTTATACGTTATCGCCGTAACGGTCGTACACTCAACCGGACGGGTTTGTCGGGAACGAGGATGACGACAATGACAACAATGTACACTATGCGGGTAAACGCATACAATGCAATAATCGATCTCTCGCGGGCTCGTTGACCACAAAAGTGTATTGTTCCGGGTGTACATGCACACTTATAAGCGCCTACCCGCCCGCCCACCTACCTAGCTACCTACGTACTAATATACCTAATACGCGGACCGTTATAATCGTATTCCGGTAAATCGCCGGATCCGTTTAAATCACTTTGGCTACCCCGCCGTCCGGCGCGTAGCAAGTGCGGGGTTTCGGTACCCCGCCGGTATAACGCTATGCCGAACCCGACCGCTGCCCGCCGATGTACGGTGCCGCCGCAGCTGACAAAAGCACACCCGGCACGCGTATTTCATTTCCGCGCCCGCGTTATTCGCTAACGACTTAATTATATTATATTAATAATAATAATAATAATAATAATAACAACAACATAATAGAAGACTGCGGCACTTCCCGGCCCTTCTGTTTTTGGCTTTTGCACCGGTCGGCAGTCGCACGCGCGCAATAATAATACACCGGCCCGGTGCGCCGGCAAAGGACAACAATAAAGAGTCCCGTCACAAAATCCACACTATCGCCGCGGCCGTTTCCTCGTACGCTCGCGTAATAATTTCTAATCGCCGGCAGCGTGTTCGGTTGAGCGGAGCCGGAGCTCTACGGACGTGTCGGTTTAACCGTGACGTGTGTTCACCCCTACCCCTCCGTTTTTTTTTTCTTTTGTTTGTGTCCGAGAACGACCGTTCTACGCGTCTAGTGTTATACATTCAAATATCTACGTACGATTGACGAAGCCGATCCTGCCCGTCCCTTCCACTCGGCGCCGTTCCGATCATTGTCGAAAAAAAAAATAAATATATATATGTATATACACGAGTGTGCATATTTGTTAAACCGTTTTACAATGCGATTAATCGTAACGATCCAATCAAGGAGAACCATTAAAATGTCCGAAAACCGTCCGCGATAACATTATGATTAATTTCGCCGTAATATAATAATAATAATAATAATAATAATAAATAGGCGTTATACGTATACACGCGCACACACACGCACACACATATATGTATACGTATATATTTCTATTGAACTTTAGACAATTAAAACAAAGATGAGAGATACCCCGGCAGTAATATTATTACGGAATGAAATTCGACTGAAACGCACGTGCTACTATTATTATATAATTGTGCGTCTCTTAAACAAGAACGGTGTGCATAATGGTATGCGGTAAGTTAGAAATTCGCAACGGGAACTTACGAGCAGGTGTTTAGAATAATGTAGCCGACGCTGCGTTTTCAAATTAACATATTATTATTATTATTATTATTATGTAGGTATGTATACTAACCGTACTAAACATTCGGTTGAAACCGACATTCGACCAAATTAATACAACAAAGAGTTTATTGCCGGTATCGCGGAATGCGAAATAATAATAATAATACATTTTGTGTGGCGCAAGGTAAAACCTCAGAAAGATTAGGTAAAACGACAAGTTTTAAGGACGTTCGAATTAAACTGCAACTCGATGTATTCGTCTACGCCGTTGACGATTTCGGTATTGATTTCACTACACACCGATTCGATTTGATTTTGATTGCCCGTTAACAAGTTTTCTGTACGAAATAAAACAAGTTTCAAAAAAACAACTGGTGATGTCTCTGACCATCGTTTCCTTCTAGTTTGTACATTTGGGAGAAAATTTTATTTAATTTTTTCAATTCCTTGTAATTTTCCAATTTTCCCCGAAAATTAAGACCATATAGGACTGTATCATGTCTATTTTATAATATGGTACATCTTTTACTCGGTACAATATATTGGCGTCTGAGCCAAAAAAGCACAAATTTGAGAATCAGAAATTATTTATGGGTGGATTGGAGTGATACAATTTTGGTTGAATCTGAATATGAACTTCACCACGTAGTAACGAGAAAAAGGTTTTTTTTTTTTTTTTAACTTGGTATATCCCTCAAGATGAAATCGGAAGGATTAAATGTTGTGAAAACGTATGTATTGTGTAAATACCATTGCAATGATGTGTTTTTTTTTTTTGGTGATTTCTACTTTCAATCGCGTCCTCATCCATTTTTATGCTCAAATTTCACGTTTTTACAGGAAAATCCGGGTTTTAAACATCCTCATGGACTCATGATAGTAAGTTACTTGGTTAAAATGCTAATATATACATAAAATTGTTGCCAATGTTGTGCCTTTAAAAGGGTTGAACTTCCGACCCTTAAACCTACCATCTGTTTGTTTGTGACCGAGAACTACATAACCCACTTTGATAAAACTTTTTTTGTTCAATTACTCAATCATTAAAAAGAGAAAAACATTAAATATAGTAACGGCAACAAGTAAGCTGGGAGAAAATTCGACTCTAATGATGGAGCTCTGTCAAATATATGTTTTGTTTTTTTTTTTTTTTTAATAATAGGGAAAAATTAGGAACAAATGACAATGCACACACAAAATATATGGCACGTAATAGAATTTTGAACAGTGGCCGCGAATGGAGTAACATATCTCATAGATAGATTTTTAAATTTCGATTACGCGGGCTCACCCACTTGAATTATGGACTTTTTGAATTTTCAGATTCTAAGCGATTTTGTGCGTTTTTGATTTATTAACGTCTGCAAATGAGTTTTCGAACGGCAGACTCGATCCAATCAAAAACTCTATTACAGCTTTATTGTTGAATTTTATCTAGTGCATGAAATCAAATGATTGCAGGTAGTTGATTAGGCAGATGGAGTTTTTGTGAAAACCGTTGATATATTATTCGTGTGCAAATTATAGGTAAAATATTACTGTAAGTTTGCGATTTACGAGTATAATCGACGAATATTTCGCAACATTTAAGTTGATTGAAATTTAAGCGCAATAATAGGAGATTATCTAAGTACGAAATCGAAAAATATTGACGCGATCAATTCGCAACCGGAAAATATTCGTCATGACCGATTCGAGAACGGACATTTCACCACGATATAATAAATCATCCATTTATGTCAATAATATCAATTTATACAATAATCGTCCATTTATGTTATATGCAATTAGAAAATTCCAAATATTATGTACAACGTATTTGCAGAGATTGCTAATAATTATCATTTAGATATTTTAAATATTTAATACCTATCTAATTGTTCATCTTTAATGATATTTCATTCATACGAATAATGCATTGTTGAAGTGAACTATACGTTATGATTATGAAGTGCAACGAGTGACGTAATTACTTGAAAAATATGCACGGATGTCGTCAAATACTATATTATACTATACCGGTACACAGATATAAATTAAATACTATACAACTTACGGTATTTGATTTCGTACAGTGGCCGGGTCTAGAAATTATTTGATTATTTGATATGCTTATAAGAATTTTGAATACAGTATCACAGTATTCCAATTTCCAATTAAGTATTATATTGTTTATACCTAATCAATGGTATTATGTTTAAAGTTTTTAAAAGTTGTAATTTTTACAATCCTGACGAGTACAAATAATAAGATTAATGATTAGAACATATCTTGTCAAACAATTGATAAGAGACAGGTTTTTTTTCAGTTTAAAAAAGTTTAGGTACACGTCATAGTAAAACGAATGTATTCGTCACTTGGCTTTGCATCAATAAAAATATTAATAATATTGCCATACTGAACTATCGAGTATAATATTTACTTTTCGTCTATATTATTATATATATATACGACGTGTATTGTAAGTATATGCTGTAGTTCAATTTAAAACAATACAGGTCAGTTTGATACCGGTGATAATCAAGTATTCATTATTTAATTATCTTCTAGAATTACAAGGTCGGAGCAATTTTGTTTTTTTAGGTATTATTTAATATGTATAATCAACGTGTGTCAACAGAGTTTGACCAACATTGTTAGTTAGATAGTTTGTGTTCGACATAGAGAAAAGCAAGATCATTGACGTATCAAACAGGTGTAAAGGTAACAAAATGTTATCACAAATTAATTAAATTTTAAAATATTAAGGACACAAAGTAATGTCATCAGAGTCACACAGACTGCTAAAAATTAAGACGTAAGATACCGTATACTAGCTGTTAAGTACTTAATAACTAGTAACTTACCTAGATATAGTGGACGATATATATCAAACAAATTCGTGTAAGTCTTTGTGTTCACAGTTCAGTGTATTATTTTCAACAGTGTATTTTTATAGCAGTGGCGTATTTACGATTTATTTTTGTGGGGTGTTAATCAAATACAAAAACGGGACTTTTCTGCCACGCCCACCCCTCCTATTCGTTTTATCACATTAACGTTTAGTTTTCCAAATAGTGTTTACTCAGTTAAGTTACTCCACGATGCTGCGATAAATGATAAGGTGATAATACAATTTACTCTTGGTTTTACATGGCTCAATACTACTGTTACCATACTATATCTTGGCAGTTATAGTGGATACATTCCTTATTTACAATACGATTTCGGTACACATTTTTCAAAGTGATTTGATTTAACTTAATAATAGAAACACATTACTTCTAGGCGGTTGCCAGAGCCAGATAATGTTAACTTTTAAGAATTTGTGTATAAGTGAAAAGAAGCTCAAAACCAAAAAAAAGGCTCTGGAGGTGATATGGATGATATAGCATTCCTTTTAAATACGCCGCCATTGTTCTATAGTATAGTATTTTTTATACTCACCGGCATATTGTTCAAAAAGAACGTCAGACCGGACGCAGGCTTAGATGCAGCTGACGTACAGTTCGCGTTGAGTGTGTCGCCCGGTTCGTATTTATCTTTATCTGTTATGATGGTTGGTTTTTCCTTTGGCAGTTCTAAAGAAAAAAAAAAAAGATTACAATTATTTTTATAATTTTTCCAACACGAACAATTTATTTAATTTCCAAATTTAAACAGTATTTTTTTCAAATGATTAAACTCCTATGGATAAATAATAATATTACAACAATAAAACATTATCGAGCAAAGTTAAATTGTGAAATCTCGGCCGTGGTATTGAACGAGTTCAGCGTATTTTATTAAAATTAAATATTATATTAGATTTCTTCTAATGAACTATAAGTATAATTTACAAAATATATATTCTGTAGTGTACATGCAATGCATGTAATAATATTAATATACTATTTCTAATGATAAATAAGCGGAAAAAAAACTCTAACGAACTTACAATAAATAAAAAATAACACTAGTTATTTTTTTAACAAAATAAAACATTTGTAATTAGAATTGTAGATACTTGTACCTATTATTATAAATATTCTACGTTCTAAGTAGAGCGAAAAAGCACTTAAGCTTCTTGAAAACTTAACTTAAAAATTAACTAAAAGCTCTTATAAAACATGTTTACCAGTTAATTTTGTTCTGATTTAACACTTTAAAGTGATAGCACTTTTTCTAAAAGTAAATCTGACTGGAGAACTAACCTATAGGAATATCAGTTTTTTATTTTCCCGGGAGCTTTTCCAATACATTAGAAAACCCTTGAAAAATATTTGAAAACCGGGGAAAAACGGAAAAATAGGTACAATATAAAACAAGTATTATTAAAGAAAATGCGTATTGTATATGTAATGATGAATGTAATGATTGTACCACAATATGATAAATATATATATATTGTTGACAAAGCAACACTATCAACTGAACTTCGTTCAGAATTGTTTTTTTCGTTAGTAATGGTTAATCGTTAATCGCAATCACCACCTGTTCCCATTATACTAGGGTGGATTTTTTTTTTATATTTAAATTTATATTACCTGCTAAATTTGCTTTTGGAAATATTATTAAAAATTACGAATTTAATGAAAATAAAATGTTGGTATGTCAAAATATTTATAATAGTATACACTATCAATTATAGTTGATTACACTATAAAATGGATGTCTTCAAATTTTTAAAAAAAGTTTAAAAAATGAACTGAAATATTAATATTTGTAGTCTTCATCTCTATGAGTAGATACTATAAACAAGATATAATTTGATTAATTTTATTATCTAGAGAGATTATACTATTCTGGACACCCTGTATAAAGTATCTTTTTTAGCATAACATGACAATTTCATATGGGTACTCGTACATAATTCAATAAAGGTAAGTAATAATATTTTATGGCGTACATTTTAATATTACGGTCGTTTAAAAAAAAAAATGGATAAATAAATAAACATAATATTATCCGCCACTATCTATCCAAACGGTTAAGTACTTTGAGTGAAATTCTGAGGAATTCATAATGTTTGTATACGTTTGTGTTTTTAGTTAATATTATATTATTTGGTTATGCTAAAGTTAATTCCTAATACGATTATTTAAGTATAATAATATAGTCTATACGGCATTATATAATGTATATTATTATGTTAATATAATGATGGAATCATAGCGGCATAAATAATTTTATTTCAAATAATAACCAAGTTCAAGTAGGATGCCGATTTCACTGTATCAGTTTAATTGGCGTGCAATGTAGAAAAATCGCTTTATTTAAAGCGTAAAGCGCATTTAGGTGGATATCAGGGTTTATTCACAAAACGAAACTTAAAAGCGGGAATATTTTTGAGTGATAAACAAATTCGTTTACCTTTTAAATTTTTGGCGGAGAGGGGAATTTATTGGTTTTACAATGATGTTCATATTTTATTGATTACTATAATTTTACATAATTCTGTATTTTGCCAGATGTTTTGCCCGGAATTCCCAGTGTAGCATCTTTTCTGAAATGTAGTTCTGGTGAAATTATATTTCAATAATGTGATTTTTAGATTTTCTCAGTGGTTTTCATAATAAATAAGAAAAATCGGAAAAAACAAAGAAAAAACGGAAAAATGTATTATTTTGAAATTGTTAAAATTTAAAACATGTACAGCCGAACTCTGCTCAGAATCGTTTTTCTTTAGAAATAGTTAATCGTTTTATGCGGATATACATTAAATTTCCTGTCTATCTTCTCAACTTCTCACGTCACAATAGTGGCCCAACCATTGTACGAAGTATGTCCGGTTATTTTTTTATTTTTACAAAATAAATATTTCTGTTTGCGCGTTTTATGGTACAGCTAAATAATTATACTAATGGGATTAGATTTGATTCACAAATAATCAGATTATGTAATTTTAATTATTCACGTACCTACCTAGTTATTTTGTTAATATAAATTCAAAGACAAGCAGCAACTAATCCAAACAAATTTATATTATTTTTCAACAGAGAATCCAACGAAAGCACGTAATGAAATATAAGTACCGTCTGTCAGACTAGGGTAAAATACTTTTTAAAAGTATTCGGAAAAAATATTTGTATACATATAGAATATAGTATTCAGAATACGTATTCGAATAATTTACAAATATTGTATTTTAAGAACAAGTGTTTAAAAAAGTGTAAGGTTTTAGTTCGTATGACTTTGGGGGACTATAGATAATACAATAATGATTGGCTGTTACCTATCATACTTACAAATATTATACATGTTATATATTATAATATAATTTATTGTACATTATATTTTAAATATTGGAAATTTCGAAAAATGCTTGAAATGATGCAAGTCGTTTGGACCGGACGACGGACGGATGGACCGCATATCAATTTTTTTCTGTTATCACAACACTGCAAATCCACTGGTTTTTGTACTATCAATAGTTTAATTTGGTGTTACATTTTAACCCCCTAAACTTGTCTCCTTCACATCAATTTAGTGCCATTGGTAAACTGTTCGATACCGGCCCAAATTATCTTAGTCCGTGGTTTTATCAATTAAATAATAATACAATGTCATGTAGTATACCCTGGGAAAAGTTTTCGATTAAAACAGATTATTAATGTACCATCATATAGGTAGTCGGAAAAAAATAACTCTGCAGCTAAATATGTATTTGGCCAACATTTTAAGATCGATATTATTATAATATTTTCACTGTTTGTTCAAATCAAGTCTGAATTGAAGAGTTTGAATGGCTGTGTGAATAAAATGGTGTATAATAATTTCAAAGATGTGTCGTAGTCAAATTTTTCAATATTCTACTGGACATTGTACAGCCAAAGGCGCCCACAGGGTAATTTTCAAATGGGAGACAAAACTAGATTCCAAAACTATTATTAATAACTTATAAGATGGCTAAGATGGTATTTTTTGAAGAGGCATGAGGAAGAAAGGGTTTGCAATTATGTAAACATTAGATTAAAAAAAAAAACAAACAATTAAATGCTGAAAATTAAATGAAGACATTATAATATTCTATTGTTTATAGTTTACGTTATACATTTGAGTAGACAATTAGATTATTTATTTTTAAATAACAACAGTTTATAAATAGCAATTAACAAATATCATTGTATAAGAATCATTATAACACGAAATAATTATTTTAAAATGATGATGGATTTAAAGTATACATAATTCTTTTTGATACTTTATTATTTTCTAGGGGGATATGTCCCCCTTTCCCCCCAATAGGTGTCCATTTTTCCAGCATATTTTCCCAATGCTAATATCTCTGTTGATGATATTCAAATTTTGTTTTTGTTTTTTTTTTTTCATTTTGTGAAGAGGTAGTATATTTAGAGAAGTTTAAATTTGTATTTTCACGCTTTAATCACTAGATCAAAAAGAAAAAAAAGAATCCTAGAAAAATAGAAAAAAAACCTTTTATTTTTTTGTAATTTTAAAAATATTCAGAATTGCCAGTATGAAAAAAAATATTATAAGTACTTACTAAAAATGTTAATATGTCATACATACGAGCATAACATCCGATAGAAAGTTTTTTAGTAATGCCTGTTTAAATTTTTCCAAAGAAGGAAGAAATGAGGGATATGATTTGTTTTTATTACAGGGCTGCGATTATGATTCCTTATCACGTAACGTAGTAGTAAGTAGTAACCTATTGAATATAAACTGTTTTATTTTCTAGAAATTAAAACGGTTATTACTAAATAACTGTTAATCAGATTTATTGTATGCATGTAAGGTTACAATTTTATAGAATAATATCTAATAATATCCAAATACACTAATTAACAAGTTATTTTTTTCCAGTAATTAAGGGATGGAAAATTTAATAAATTTTCTAAATAAACACCCCCATTCTGATGGAAGAAAAAAAAAATGAATACCAACTGAGATATTATCATCGGGAAAAACGGAAGGATACCCTGTAGCTTTTTACAAAAAAAAAAAAAAAAAAAAAAAAACAGTTACTGTTGGAACTTTTAATCGCACATAACCCCCGATGATCGACGTTAAGATAGTAAGCAACTTACGTCTTGAAATTAATTAATCGACTTACACTTATCAAGATTCCATATATTTTCCATTTTCTTAACGTTATATACATTATATATATATTTTTATTTCTTCTTCCAAAAGTAAAGTACTAGTACTCCCACTAAAGTTGCTTTTATTATAGGTAATTATTATTTACTGTACGCATTTATCCTGTTTACATATACTACGGTACCTATATATATGTTGCACGCGGATGACTTTTCCAATCAATGCTCTTCGGATACTTCAATATTATCGTAGACGTTATAATAATTAGACGGTAAATTTTTATTAAAGTTTCTTCCTTCCACTTCCGCGATAACTGGGTATATATTACTTGGAAACAAGTAATCGAAAATCCCTTCTCACAATGATTTCCCGCTTCTTATATTTTCCTCTAAGGCCATATTTCATTATGTTTCAGACTTTTTTTTTTTAATGAAATATTTTTCAATACGCTTATCAGTATAATCTTACTTTAGTATTATAAATCTTTCATACTTTTTGACTATTCGTTTAGTGAATAATCTGTTTTTAAATCTTCTGAATTTTCATATTATTTGTGTATTTTTATAATTATACAATGTATCTAGTAATGGGCACCGTTAATACGGTAAGTTATTTATTTTAGGTTAATACCCTGATATTTATCCATAATGTTTATTTTTTATTTTAACTATGACAGTCGGTAATGTTGCAGTTTTCATATGGTTTTATATCATACTTAGCAGTGATGTTTTTATTGGTGGTTAATAATGAGTAAGTATTTTGTCCATTATAATAAATAAATTAGTACAAAAAATAAACCAGCGCTATTGTTCACTGAGGTAAACCTCCATTTAAGACTCTAATAACTTGTTTTTAAGAAAATAGTGAAACAACACTTTTAAATTGTTTTGTTTTGTTTTTTTTTTCAAAAAATTAAGAAACGTAGAAAATTGCCTGACCGCATAAAAAAACGAATTTCAAAACCGAATTTACAAACAAATTGTTTGATAGTATATGTGGATATATATTCCGTAAGTGTATTTCATAAGTGTCACATGAAATTTTAAAATTAGTAAAACACTCTAAATGAGCAATTCTAAAGATATTATTTATTATTCCGTTGGCGTAAACTTAAATCATAAAAAACCACAGAATACTTTAAGTTTTATGAATATGAAATATTTGAGTGAGTAAGTATTAATTTATAGTATTTATATATGTATACGTATAATATTATATATTGGTAAAGTTGTCATGTCACATTTATCAAACGATAGTTGTATCAGAATTTATGTCAGAATCTCAAACGTGTGTAAAACTTCTCCTGAAAGTTCTTACATTAATTATTAACACATTTAAAACAAAATATATATATATATATATACAAAAAAACGAAACAAAATAAAAGTATTTATAAATTAAATTAAAATTATAACGAAATAATATTATATACGTTATCGGCTATACGAGTATATGCGTATTATAACGTTTTCGTAGGTTTACTGAATTCAACGAACAACTGACACAGAATTAAAAATTATTTGATAGCCTTAAGAGGACGCCAAATATATTGAATCTACTGTTTCAATATAACTAACGGACAATACAGAATAATTATATTTTTTGGAAGATAAATTGTACAGTTTAAATTGAAATTGAGATAAGACGCCAATATCAAAGTTTAAAGAAAAAGAACATTTTCGAGAGGTGTACGTAGTTTATCCTAAGGTTATGATAAAAATGGCATAGTCACGTTAGTTTTTGTTATTTAAATATCTGTTACTTTTTATATTATAATTTTTTAAATAGAAGTCTCGCACATCTCTCAAAGATATTTTTTTATCTTTAGGTTTGGTTTCGTGTTTAATTTCTAATATCAATCTAAACGCCACAATTTACGTTTTAAACAGTACGATTTTTCTGCGTCGCCTGTCAGTTAGACTGATACTGTGAAGGTGACAGCGACTCCCTTTTAAACACTCGCACAAAAAACATTGCATTAGGTTATATAAAACCAGAATAATTATTGCCAAAAATAATATTATTATATTTTCGTGTCACTAATTGCTGGAATAATATATCGCTGTTCAAATAATAATATTATCTGCCATAAAAGCAAAAATTTAATTAAAATTTTTAATGTGTTCTATTTGTATTAAAGATATTAAATACGCGGGATTGGTGTGACGTCGTATTATGTGATGACAAACCTTATCAAGTATAATCGGTTCCAATTAAATAAAAATGACATTTGATATAACTTTGACATTTTTATACTTTACATTTTAAGTACCTACTCAGATATTTATAAAACCTAATTTGAGTAACTTTTATTATAATAGTTAAATTTCAGGTTTTAAGTATTCATATTTTAATACAATATGTTTAAAAAAATATTATGTGTGTTTTTGACGGGAGTATTAAATTGTATGGATATTGTTTAATATATCGACTACAATAATATAATAATACAAAGGGATCTACAAAACTCTCTTCTTATAATAACTTATATTTATGAGAGGGGTAGGAGAAACTGCACGTACGAGTAAATATGTACTTATGTAAACAATTTGTACAGAGCTCTAGTCCTCCCCTCCACGGAGAATCATCACGCTACGTGTATATAACAGACGGAAAAGAAGTACGATGTAATCACTATTCATGAAAGTTACATTGAAACGAGAAATTTATAATATTTTATTTATTAAAACGGTATAAACTGCTTTTACATCAATTTTATTTAGATTTTGAGCGGAGCGAGGTATTTATTGGTTTTACAATGATATTTATTTATTTATTTTTCTATGGACAACTTTTCTACTAGCAATTTTTCTCTTATCTTCAATGATAGCACTTTTTCTGGAAGGAAAACTGACTGGGGTGGTATATTAAAAAGGTCATTTTTTTTTTAATTTTCCTGGAAGTTATCCAATTAAATGGAAAAAAAAAACGGAGAAAAACGGAAAATAGGTACAATATTAAATGAATATCATTGTGATACAACAAATATCAATTATGTTTCCATAGTATAACATTAATATTTATATATTGTTGACAAAGCAACACTATTAACCAAACTCCGCTCAGAATCGTTTTTTTTAGCAACTGTGAATCGTTGATTAGAATCCGTACAGATATACAGTACATTTCTCCTCTACCTTCTCAACTTCTCACTTACAACAGTGGCTTACTGACGAGGTAAGTGCAAAGTATGTCCATCTTTTCAAAGTGACATTATTACTCGTTAAAGAAAAGAAGAAGTTACGTAAAAATGTACAACAGTTTAAAAATATCCAATTATTTTTTTTACCTTGAAACTAGAGAATTACTGTGTAATAAAAAAAGAAATTATAAAGATATAATAATTAAAAAAAATCTCAACCATTATGAGGCTGTGTTATCTGAGCGGACGACGATCGTGGAGGAAAAACGTCACTTAGATATTATTAGAAATAATAATAACAAAAAGTGAGTTGTGACATCGTTCGATTCGTTATAGCTGATGAAATCGCAATAATTGGTTACAACTATTTTATTTTTCGAAATATGTTGGTTTTGTTTAGTTTTTTTTTTTTAAAACTTTGTTTCGTCAAATGTAATTCTCTGAGGAGTTTTCTTCGGGTCCGTTTTGTACATGTACGGCACGTATATATTTGTTTCGCTCGGAGTAATATTGAAAACTTTCTCGCGGATATGAACTGCAGAAATTATTAATAACGGAAATATAAACTATATATTATATAGGAGAGATTAAAAAAGCGTATAAATATATTTATGTGACACGCGTACACAATACTAGATATACGAGAGTCTGTATAAGAACAACAGTCCGCTATGAAGATTTACCAGTATTACCCGTACGTACGGAATGATATTTTTATAATTACGATCCATCGATTTTCTCGGAGGAATTTTTGTAAATTTTATTTCTATTTTTTTTTTCTTGCAATCGTTATGGAATTGTTTAAATTGTATTTTTACCTCTGCACGTTTTATCATAAATTAAATAAAACTTTTGATTTTCAAATGACCAAGATAAAAAAAAAAAAAATACGGTCCGACTGGTTGTAATTTTTTAAATATACTTAACAATAGTATAATACAATACTCATGATTATAGAATTGACAATTTTTACTTGCACCGTATAATATGAGTTATAATTTATAACAGTTCGAAATTTGGACCGGAAGAATAAATAATACGGAATAATGCTTTCCATATCAATTTAAACTCCCTCCGTTCCTCCGGTCTAAATTTGAAACGGTTATAACTCGTACCTTATAAATGGTGTAACAAATATTAGATTTGTGCAGAGATTAATACTAGCGGACAAATATTTTCTTTTCGAATCTGGATAGATAAGGGCGGAGGGGTTTCAATTCTCAAATTAATAGTTGATATTAGGCACAAACGGAATGAGCGTTAAATAATATTATATGCAAAATCATATTATAAACGATTATGTAATTTTAAAAAAAAAAAACTTTAAATACCAAAATCTATTTCCTCAAAATTGTCCATAAGATAATCGTTGGAGAATAATAAAAAAATAACAATCACCTTATATTTAAAAACGAATCGTAATATTGTATCTCGTGTGCGCGTATTATATATTAACATAAGGTCGACGGTAAAAAATAATAATATGGTTTATACTCGAGACCGTAGGTACAAGTACTTTACGAGAATGCGCCGAAAATTCAATATTATATTAGTCAACAACAGCCGGCGAACAGGGGTTTCGTAAATATAAGAAGAAATAAAAGATCGTATATTATTTAGTACCTACCTATCTAATTTGAACAATAGGAACGAAATTGCAACGGTAAAAATCTGCAGATGGCGAGCAAAAGATTGCGAAATTCGAATAACGTAATGTTTTTTTTGTATTGTTGAAACCGGATTAAATTTTAATCTCGATGTTTTTAAAATGAATTTTAGCGGTGGAAAAAATAATAATACTAACGACTTTAATTAGATTCGTCCGGTTGAAAGTTTCTTAACGCGCGCGCAGTTTCTAGAACACGAAAAGTTCACTCGTATATATTGGGTTTAATTTATTAGTATAGAGCGACTCAATTGTGCTTCGCAATTATTATCAGATCGTACCTCGCACACCTCATTGCAACAACAATATGGTAATCGTATTATTTGACTATAATAAACTTACCAAAGATCATATTAGAGTATATAAATTATACGGTTTTTATACGCGCGGAAATAATTAGTTTTTAGGACGCCCATTTCGCCAGACGATGAAATATATTATATAAAAAACAAAAAAGTTTAGATGGAAAAATGTCACGTTTGGTTTCAATTTGTCCGCAGATGCGCGATACAATACTCCCATAAAATGTAATACTGAACGTCGAGGTAAACTGAAAGCGTCTCCAAATAATAATAATAATAATAATGTATCGGTACTTGTGTTGTTCGGTCGGAACGACTTGTTTCATGATTATAATATGACCCGATTCAAGAAACGTATCGGTGATTATGTTAGTTTAGGTGACCTAAATGTAGTTTGATATGTAGAAAATCTCAAAAAAAAACGTTATACGGTTTGCCGAGACAACGTAACTTTGGTTACTAATCGTGGCTTTTAAGTATCCAGGCGCGACGTTAAGCACGAAATATGACTGGGCCAGTGAGATAAGCGTTCGTATAATTAAGGTGGATGAAATAAAAAAAAAAAACATATTTTACGTTGACGAAACATTTTCTATCCGAACCACGATAATAGCGATAATAAGACAAAGCTCTTATAGATTTATATACGGCTGTGGAGCATAGACAACAAATCACCAGACCGAAAGAAAACTAAACACGTTTAAAAACAGAATACACGCACGGGGAAGAACATGCCGTGGCTCTCTTCATGATGATACAATAAATAATTTACGAAAAAGATATATGTGTAATCAAGTTGCATGCTTTTGCTTATACTAAAGACTTAGCGTCAGTGATAAATTTTACTAATGGACAAAGACTGCAATAGCTAGGCTATGTAATGGGGAAAAGCGACGATAGTAACTTTAAAGAAGCGCCATAATACAAACTTTTCGGAAAGAAACCTCTTGGTAGACCCAGAATATTTATGGATCGACGTTATTGAAGAGGACCTAAGGAATCTGAGAGTAAAGGATTGGAGGGACGTGATTAAAGGCATAGATAGATGGACGATGTGTTGTTTAAAACTATGCTTCGTTAGTTGTAATTGTCAGAAGATGAAGAAGTTCATTATTTGAGTTTAAATTAAACGACTTTGAGAAATCGAGAAGAACTGAAAACAGTTGCGGAAAGGATAATTTTCTAGAAGTTGACATACCATTTAAAATTATTGTTTTTGAATAAAATAATTAATGAATTATGACATTCAAAGTTTAGGTATTCAAAAATATGTTTTCACTCGTGTATTACAAATAAATTTCTTTCCGTATAGCTGATTTTCAAAATTATAATATTTTAAAATTACTAAAATTATAATGGTTTATTTAATATAATTTTAATAATATCGTAAACAAAACTGTCCGAAAATTATCAAACTTAAGAAGGGAAATTATTACTGAGAATTTTTTTTATAAATTATTTATCAAAGGAAGATAAAAAACAAAAAAAGCTCACATATTGCTATATACAGTTGGTATTACTTTTATGTGAGTATTTCGAAAAATATTTGTGGTATCTACCTATATTTGTTATTTAATAATATCATGGAAAAAACTGTTTTAAGACAAAAAAAAAAAAAATCAAAGTAATGTTCAAAAAAGTATTTAAGCAAGGACGACCCACGTTCGACCGGATACTTACGAGATGCCCAACATTGTATACGGTCCTTTGTCCATGGCGATATATAAACGGAAAGCTCTCTTGATGGAAAAAAAAAAAACTATTTTTTCTCTATTTCTATTCTATATTACATATTGTATTATACTCTGTTTGGATTTCAGCAAAAAAATACTTTCGCTTTTTTTCCGTACGGTGCATTAAAAAGGATATTAAATTTCTTCCCATACCCAAAAATCAGATTCCCTATGTTTAAACATACTTATATTTTAATATAATTGAATAAAATGATTTTTTATGTACTAGAGTATTATTATTATTATTATATTTTATTCAATTTTTGTTCCTTTGTGTTTAAATTATGTTTTGTTTCGTTCTCTGATTAAAGTGAAACGCGTACTTATCATGTACATGAGTATGGGTATTGATACAAAATAATCGATTTAATATAAAATTATTAGTATATAATTTATAAGTAGAATTATAAGTGTATGATTCCTATTATGTTCCTATAATCTGTGTATTATAATTTTTTCTCTTTTTTTTTTATTTTACTCGATTATTTGTTAAAACATATTCTATATGAAGACTTACGATCTGAATATAAAAGTTGTTTGTAAAATATACTACCGTACAAGTTCTCGTGTTATAGGGTTTGACATTTTTCACATTTTTTTAATCTCTCAACAAGAGTTTAATATTGCGAGGAAAAATAATAACCTAGAAATCGGCATAACTATATTATGTTAATTTTTGTACCTTATTAGATATTATATAGTGTAAAATACTCGATGGCTCGAATGAGTACCTATGGTTATTATTATTTGAGTCTATTCGGCCTCTAGAACCACCCTGTCTCTTTCAAAACCAATACACTCATCGTCCAATATGGCCCACATTCTAAAGCTAACGTGTCCTTTTTTTACTACGTCTTCCCATATTGTGCTCGGCCTTCCCGAAAATATTTATTCTATACATATTAGTTTCTGTTATAACGTTATCCATATATTTTTGGGTTTCGAGTCCTACGGGCATTTCTATCCCGTCGAAATCGTCCACTTTTTGTTGATCTCTAAAATATATTTTCTCTAAACCCCACTGCAAATCGGATTAACCATATTAATTATAAGTAAAATATTTTCACAGATTTTATTTATGTACAAATTTAGGGGGAGGGGGAGAAATAAAATAAAAATTATAGGTAAAAACCGTTTGTTTTGTATTGAAAATCGTGAACTTTTAATGGCTTCGAGTAAGCAATATATTACGGTATGACAGCACTGCTGGTAAAAACGAAACGAATCGGTTTTGGAGATGTCGGCTCAAAGATTTATCGTGCAGTGCAGCTCGTATAGCATGATTTTATCATTCGCAAACGATCCGCCAAAGGCCCATTTCCGTGATTCGGCATTCTTATTACCACGCTTGACTTTTGCAGCAGCAGCGGTAAGTCGACGGCTGAACTTTCTAATGTGATTTTAATTAAATGATCGAGTCGATTGTTGAGTATTTTTATTGTTTATCTTATACTATATTAACCGTCCAGTTTCTGCCACGAATCGTATTCCGAAGTATGTCGTTCACATACGAAACAAACGCAATTGTATTTAATAGAAAATAACAATCAGATCCGTATCAAGTACCTACCTCGTATATAGGTAAAGCTACTATAATATTGCAATAGTTTTAAACTTTAATAAATATTTGTAATAGTTGTTAGTTGTTTAGTCGATGAAACGACCGAAACTAAACATACTACTCAGTACTCACCCTTAGACTAGACTAGACTCCCCATACTTAAAATAATTAAAATAATTACGAATTTTATGCGTCTCGTTTTTTTTTTTTTTTAAGCTTTTACAGCCCATTTAAGGCTTTCGTTACTTCCACAATTTCATACCACCTCTCCCTATTTATACCCTCTTCTATCTCTATTCCTTGTGGTACTTCCATCCACCTTTGCTGGGGTGACCTCTGAGTCTTCTCCCGTAGAATTTTCCTACCAGTATTTGTTTACAAATACCATAGTCTTTTCAAAAGTGCACCGCTCTATTTGTACGTTTACAATTATCAACTGTTTATGGTGATTAAACGAATTCTATCATAAATTCATGGTACATTTTTGTATCATTTTTTCCATCATTTACGTGAATTCTACGAAAAAAAAATATTTATCCATATAAATTGGAAAAAAATGACGAATATATCCAATAATAGATTGCTTTGATTAACTTAATAAGAGCCAACATATTTTTTAAACTAAACTTTTAATAAGTTAATTAAATTTAAAAATTAATTATAAGCCTTACTTAATTAGTTATAAAACTATAATTGACTTTTAACGTGTTAACTCATTAATTTTTTTAAATTAAATTAACCGAGTTATTATTTATCATTTACATATTTCCTATCCTTGAGAAACGCTATAATAATTATAAAATGTAGTTTTTTTTTTTTATCATACCCCAGAGATAGACTCGAAGTACTTCGGCCTGAGTGGGGTTGGACTAGGAATAATTGATCGGTCGAAAGTTTACAAAATTTGACGGTTGCTCCACAAGCTTATCCATCGGAATTTCAATAATAATTAAATACATATTCGTGTAATTAAATAATAAATACTCGTACAAAAATAAACTAATTTGTCTACTTTATAAGTCTTTATGGAGGTTAGATTCTGCAGGCTAAGTAAAGCAATGTTCTAACTTCTAAACTTTAAATTAAAATACAAGTATCAATAAAAAATATAAGTTAAAAAAAAAAAAAATAAAAAAATAAGTATTAGGTAAAACATAAGAATCCAAATTATAAATAATCCTACCTATCCGAACGTACTTCTCCGTTCTTTCGCTTATGAAAATCCACCTCTGTTATATCCATTTAAATGCAAATGAAATAATATTACGTGAAAGTATTATCATTTAATGTGGTGAACTTTTTTAATTGAGTTAATATGACGTAAAGTAATATTATTACAATGCCCTGAGTGCGTCTGAATAAAAAAGACAATTTTTTCAACATAGCTAAAATGAGTCCCAGTTTATTTAAAGTCACCCAGGGTGCACCACGAGGAGGTGAACTGACCCAAACATATTAGGTTATTTTATTATCTTTTAGTGATCACACCCATTTAGGTTGGTTGAGTGTTATAAAATGGATACAGAATACATTATCTTTAGAGTAGGTACTAATATAATAGTAGTTAAATTTTTTAAAAATGTTAGAATGACTGCACTAATTCAGTAGCAAGTTACCGGAAAGATGACGGCACTACACTCGTTAACTATACTTTATTCAACTTATGAGTACATCAGTTCACACTGTTCATACTATTATACCCGAATGAGCTCTGAACTTTGCCGGACCTTTCTAATTAATTTATTGGAAACAATCGTTACGGATCGTACGCCGTCGTCGTATAATCACCACTGTCGTAGTGTATACGGCAATTCATAATATTTAAATACCTACCGCCAAATAAATCATTGTAATATACACGCATAATTTTGTACTGTTTGAACTATTGAGAAAAATAGAAAAATAACATTACTTAAAACGTAAATTGAAGTGATAATTTAAATTAAAACAGTGCGTTTGTGCGAGAAAATACGCGTTTGTTGTGAGGCCGTTAAAACAGAATGTTATCGATATTTTGTTAGGCTAGGCTAGGCTAAAACAAAAAACGATCTAACTTTAAATTTATAACTCATATACTCTGACATTAACATTGAAATATTATTAATATAACTCTTAAAAAAAAATGTTCAAGGGGAGATATATTTTCCTGATCTCCTCCCTTAAATATGCCACTGGGGTGAGTGGACGAAGCGGTACTGATGGTTATAACGCGCATGCGTTCCCATTCCTGGTTAGGAGTGGGAACGCATGCGCGAAAACTTACTTTTTTTCCGCAACCAGTTGTACTTTAAAGTAGAAAAGAGCATAGCCTAGTTCTTACACGACTACTAGCCTACTCCATAGTCTTATTGAGTTTTATTATTAAAGTTAAAACAAAATTTTGTTTCCTCAATTTATCAATTATTAAGTTTATCAGTTTTTTTAAATAGGTAAAAATTAGGTAGTTAGCCTAAGACTGCATCAATACGACTGCGGACGTACTCGGGCTATGAAAAAGAAAAATATTAAAAACGGGACCCATTTGATATTTCCCAGGCGGACGCAGCACTCCGGTCCAGGGGTATCTTCTTCGCCATTATAATGGCGAAGGAGATAAAAGGGCGAGGTCGGTTGCGGATCCGTCAACTAGGTGCAAATGATGACGCCATGTGCCCGTATAGCTGTCTATTTAGACTGTCTTGCCCCCCCCCGGTTGATGGCTCTGCCTAAGAATGTAGGCTAGGCCACGGAAAACAATACTGAAGTGGTCCCCCGGCTCAGTCCGAGGGAGTCTATAAAGGTAGGAAAAAGGTCTCTGAATTCAATGCACTATTAAACCACAAAAATGCATTTAAAGTTCCTAAAAATGCTCTATATAACGCAGTAGATACCTTAATTTGGAAATTCACTAGACAAATATGTCGCAATTAACGAACGCTATTAACCTTATCCTTATAAAATCGTGACCAATCAAGCCTACTACATATAATATACTTATATATCTAACATTAAAACATTATAACACAAAAATATAAAATAAACTTTTTAATTAGTATCTTTAAAACGAATTTACAACCTGTACAAATTGATAAATATGTTGTTCGTGTAAAAATGGATAAAAATAGTGTGAAATCAACTGAAACGGCAACAATCCGCTTAAAATATAAAACAATAATCTAAAGAAATAGAAACGGCAAAAAATAAAGAACAAATTTGTACTATTGTAATAATTTACATTCAATGGCAATAATTTTGGTTTCTAAAATCTTGGTTAGATAATACAAACTTTGACTTTTCGATCAGCTTAAAAAATTTCATTTTCCGACATATTCACAATAGTAATTATAGCTTATCAGATTATAATGGAAATTAAATATCTCATTAGTTACACATACCGTCTCCTTGGAAGTTGTCTAAGAGCAAATATTTACAATAGACTGCGTATTAATTAGGTTCTGCGTTAAACTACAGGAGAGGGAAGGAGTTCGCATGACCTAATTACGGTCGCATAGATAATGATAATACACTCGTGCAAACATTCTATACACAATAATAATAATTAATACCTATTATAACCTATATGTCAGAATGTAAATGTCTCGCCTTTGGAGGGGAAAAAATAATTGTAATTTCGTTTTAATTATGGTTAAAAATAAAAACGTAACGCATTCGGACATAGTACGCGCACAGTAGATGGTCCACTGTTGTAGATGGGAAGTTACAATAGTATAAAATATAAGTAGATAATTTAATTTAATGAGTATTGACTGTTGCTATTATTATAATCAAAAACCTATTCTAAAAATAGTTGGTAAACTACAGGCGACATGTATAAAACCATTATGAGTAGTGTTTTTACGCCATTAAAAGCCGAAGTAACGTAGAACTGAATAAAAATAAAATCTACGTATTAATTACACTTGAAATCTAAAATACGTGATATTACAGGATACCAGACGATGTTTTATAGAAATGAACTTACATTTTATTTTTGTCGAAAAAAAAAAATAATAAGAAACGTTTTAAAATTATTGCATTTATTCGAGACGTACTTTCGTCGTTTTTGTTTTAATAAAGAGCATTTTTTCGACAAAGTTTCGTGAACAAGGCTGAGGGGGTGGTTAAAAAAATAGATTTACGCGTTCAACGGTTTTGCGGCCCATCCTCCTCCGCTCGTCGGCAAATCCATCGGGGCAGCTGGATGAAATTTATGTACTGACATAAATCGTTAACGGCGAGATTCAACGTGTCGCCAAAAATCCCGGCCATTTGTTATAACGAACGCGAGAAAATTGATTTAATTAAAAAATTAATTAATTCGTTTACAAATTTACAACTGCTTTACAGTCGGTGAGTTATAATAATATAATGTGACCGAAAAAACAAAGGATTGTAATCCGACGGAGCGATTTGGATTTACCGTAAGGTTAAGCATAAAATATCACATATATTTACATATTTATATATATATATATATATATATATATATATATACCATCCGCGTGTTTAAAATCGGTTCTGAGCAAAATATTACAATCGATTTATTTCCGAAGCTGACTTTCGTCCTATTTGATGTGTCTTATTTTATGAATTATGATCATGCGCTATATACTTTAAATATTAAAAAGTTTTTTTCAAGGGGGAGGGGGAGCTCCAAAATAAAAATAATTAAACTTAACGTTATTATTGTTTAAAATAAAACGAGGAACTCTTCTGTAAATTTGAATTTTAGAAAATTGTGAAAAGCCAAAACTTATAATATGTGCTGTGTATGGTCAATTTTCAGTTATTATTATGATAAATGAAATTTAATGGTCTATGATGGCTATTAGTTTAATGACCATTCTATTAGTGCTCCATTCCAGGACAATAAGTATAGCCTCGAGAACTTTAAATCGCAACATTGTAAATTACCACGTCCAATTCCGTTCAGCACTTCTCAAGATTATCGCGGTCAAACAGACAGAAATTTATTTTATACATAATATAATAATACAATGTACAGATATAGAAGAAGATAATAATAATTTACCAAAAAACTATCTTCTTTGTAAACGACCAACACAAGACTTAAGTCCGTTAAAAAAAAAAAGTCCATTAATATAATGTTTTGCAGTTTGAGTTTTTTGTGTTAAGCACTGGTGTCTAGCCTCAGTACCCTCGTCTCATGTAGTCGTATCTGATAACAATAAGATGCAAGTAAAATAAAATTATACTACATTACGATGATAACGAGAATAGTACACTACCAGTACCTATTATGTTATTGTGTTTTACTGGTTAGTGGTTAGTTTATTATTACTGGGTCAAAAACTTATCGAATTGCCCGGAGCACACAGCTGATAAGCGAAAGAATATATGTTATATATTGTAATATAGTCGTCATATCAATGTAATAATAGAATATAATACCACAGCAGTATACATTATTATGTAAATTTAACGCGAGTCTCTTCGTTTGGTTTAAGATAAAAAAAAAAAATGATAAGCCGAGCGTGTTTCGCACCTTATTGGTAAACAAAATTACCTACAGTTTTCCGGATAAATGAGTGGGTTTAATGAGAGACCTGCAGTAGATAGCAAACCCGACCGTCCCACGTTTTCGGTGAAATTAAATAAATAGACAGTCGGCATTTTTTGACTAGAAAAGACTTAACGAATTTTCCTATTTAAATTCAGGGATTACACTGAGAAGGTATTTTTCTAAGATACTTACAGCTTACGTATAGTGTGTACATGAAATTAATATTTGCTATCGGGATGGACTGCAGAGACATACCTAAGCAAATATCTCGTTAATATTATAATGATTAATTAAAATTTAATTGGAAAGACGAATTTACTTGTAAAAAAATCCATTTTGATAAAGCTTCAGTCCGTTTGAATACCTACGCAGTATTATAATGAGACGTTTATGATATTTTATATTATAAATATAACACTAATATAGATAATTAGGTACTAATTTAAGCTCCGAAATTCTATTATTATTATTATTTTAGATTTTGAGTGTAACGAAGAAACTTTTATGCAATAGTTTTACAAAGTTATGTTTTTTTTTCTCGGCAAACATTTTTTTAGCAAGTAAAAATGCGTCGATTTCTCTTGTAGTTAGCAAAAAGATGTAAATTTTTCAACTGATGTAAGTATATGTATGTACATATACTTAATTTAAAACATTTTTTTAAGTTACTTATAACAGCCATACTTTTTTTTTTTTTGATATTAAATATAACCTATGATGAATCTCGTGTTAAATTTTCAAGTATCTTTGATCAGCTATACTATTATTTTTCTTAACATCATAAAGCTAAATAAAAGCTAAACAAATTCTAAAATTTCAAATTGCTATAAAACCACTAAAAATGTTCTGCGATTATTTTTAACAGAAAAACAATAAAAAAAAAAAAAAACAGTTTAATCTAATCAAACCGTTATTTACGTCATTTTTCTCTTTTTCCTATGTTTTTCTTGATTTTTAAAAAAACTAAACAGAATATTGAAGCTTGATTTCTGGTTAGAGAAGTTGTTCACCAACAAAAAACAAAAAGAACTGATACTGCTGACGAGTTAGCCAATGTGCCACTGTTGTTATAAATGAAAAATTTAAAAAGTAGGACACATTGTAAGTTATTTAATTTGTATCTGTACAAGAACGTATATGAACGCTGTCAAAATACGATTATGAACAAAGTTCAGTTAAACGAGGTTTAAATTGGCATGATTTTTACGATTTTATTTAAATTTGAATATTATAAAAGTATAGTTATAGAATAGGATCACCACCCAAAACACTCTCTCATACCACTACCACTACAACCATTGTTACTATACCACCATGCGTAGCAGAGCGGGTACCGTACACAACTATACAACACTACACCCAAAATACCCCCTGAACACAACCACCTCAACTGCCTCTATAACTCTACGCGAAATGCCTCAATTTAAATATCTATAAATTGCTTAAAAAGATTGGTTTGTAAAATTGAAATTTACTGCACCGATAAAAGGCTAATATAAGTATTCTTCTTTTTTTTTTTATTTATAAATAAAAACAGAGTAGAAACACAATTTAATAGTAATAATGACTTAAAATTAACTCTGTTGGTCTATATCTCAATGCGAGTTTAAAATTTTAAATAGAGGCGTGAAGAAAAAACCGACGTTGGTATTCTTGTTGCAAAGAGACGACGCTCTTGGAAAGAGGAAGTTAGTGATAAAGTTTGTACAGTATGAAGGTATATAAAAAATAGAAACTGAGCGGTTATTGTAAGAAGGAATATTAAAAGGGATGGAAAACAGGAGAGAGGGGGCATCGGTAAATCCATTAATTAATTAATATATAAAATTTATATATGAAAGTCCACGACGTAATGAAGAGGTTTGAATGTTTAAGTTTAATCTGATTGGATTGTAATTATGGTTTTCTATGAGTATAATTAATTTATAAGATAAAAATCTCAAAAAAACGATTTTGGACACGTTCGACACTGTCAATACCCGATTTAGTGTATGGACACCATATAATCAAACCAAATTCCATTATTGGCCTAACTAATGCGTTGTATAGTAAAATGAATGATCGCGGATTTTTGAATTCAGATGAACGGCGTTTTATAAATCTTAAAACTTTTAGGGCTTTCCTAATAATGCTCTCTATATGTTTATTAAAATTTAAATCATATGAAAAATGAATACCAAGATCTTTGGTGTGAAAAACTGATTCGAGCCGATTGTTATTTATAAAATAAACAAACTTTATTGTTGATTGTGACCTATAGAAACTCATAGAGTAGCGTTTAGAAATGTTTAGGTGCAATTCACATTTTTGACATCAATCAAATAAAAATTCTGTGAGAAACCAGATCGGTAAGATTGTTTTTTAACCAAACTACGACAAAAATAGAAAAATCAAAAAATAACCTATTTATGTATTAAAGCTTTAATACATTTAACGTTCCGACTAGATTCCGAAATGCAACGAAAAATGTATTTTTCCGTTTTTTCGATTGGAGCAAGATTTAAGACACACGAAAAAAACCCACACATCGTTGTAGAATCAATACATTCCATTACTACGCTCGGAATTTAAAATCGCCATAAGCCAACCGTACCTATCACAGACACAATAATTATTTTTGTTTTACGGCTTCTCGATAGCTATACAATTTCAAGGAGACTGACAAACAGCCTGTTACTCGAAGATTTTAATGAAACGAAGAAATATAATATGTAACGTACGGTTTACAAATAAATATCGGAAACAGTTTTGGACAAAGCCCGAAAAGCCGATGTTTTGTTTTTGCGATAAATTTCGAAAATAATAATCAAAGAAACATAGCCAATACCATTCGATTGCGCTAGCGTGATACATTTAATAAACAATTATGCACGTTTAGGGCTCAATGTATTACACGGGACTGTGAAAACTTTGATCGTTTCGTTTAATTTTCGTTCAATATGATTTGCAATTGCCGAGGTGCTTAATCATTAATTAACGCGACCCCGTTGTATTTAAACTAAGCGAAATTTTTGGCCGCGTTTCTCGATAAAAACATTTACAATGAACACCGAATAATTATTGGGAAGTTTGTGTCATTGTGATATTCCGCGAATGAATTGGGCAGGTATTGTTTCGATAACCTTTTATCGTTTACGTCAAAACAATAATTTATATTTCTTTTAATAAAAACGTACCGTCATTTTTCTCCCGAATATTCGATAATATTTACTTTATCGGATTCGTATTTTTAAAATATTACGTTTCGGGTCGAATATATCGATTGCATATATTACCGGTGTATCGGGTTGGACGGCTAATTTTACGGGGCACTGCCCGAAATGCAGATAAAATCTAGAAAGAGCGATGGAAAGAAACAAAAATAAAAATACATCACACCGCCCGTAAAACCAATAAACACTTATAGGCCCTCTCGGTACATAAAATGTGACCGAAAACAATATATACGATATATATCGAATTTTTAGTGTTTTATGGACATTACACTATATGCGGCGATATCTCTCTCTCTCTCTATATATATATATATATAAATATATCGTAGTGTTATTGCAATGGCCGGCGAATAGAATAATGTATGCGGGGCGTTAGGTCGCGAGATACCGAACACAATAACGCTATCTCGTGCAGTGATGCTAAAAGTTCTTTTAACCGAACGTACTATATTATAACCGAAGAGCGTTACTCACTTGTCGCATTACGCGTATAGCACTGCGGCGGTAATCGATGGCGACGATACATCTATACATGTATGTTGTTGTTACTTATCGTGTACGGCCCGGGAAAAAAATCCCCGTTAACGTTTGTAAAACGAAGTGTCCGTACCATTGAATAATTCAATATATATATATATGTATGTGTGTGCGTGGGGTACAATAATAAACGGATAAAAATGACGCGCGAAACGAAACAAAGGGGGACGGAGATGTCAGTGCAGTCGATTACGCGGAACGGATAGGCCTTCGATAGCACGTTCCTGAACGAGACGGGCCCCACGGTTCCGACGGGCGATGAACACTTTGAATCGACTTTGGGCGCGCTAAAACTATGGACGCATCAAAGATCCGTGCCGTACCCCGCAACCCCCACCCCCCTTCTCCCCCGGGGTTCCTTTTACACTTTTCACGTTATTTTTCGCGCATACGTGGATTTTCCGTAGGTAATATGTATTTTGTTCTGTTTGTAGTTACGAAATACACGGATAAAATATTCAGTCGTCACAACGAAAAAGCCTATCGGGCGCTTTTTTTTTTTTTCTATGGATTCTAATTTCAATGCCGGGAGTACTAAAGAACACCTTAGCGCCCCTTAACCGCACGTATGACCGTAGTAGTGTGTACATTGTGTAATTAAATTAGACGGCTAACGATAGAAAAACGTATTCGACTAACGACTAACGATACGTTTTTGGTCGAATATTGACGAAATTTTAGTAAAATTTTCCGCCCAGTGGTAGTTTGCTTAGATTCTCAAAAGTTTTTTCTGAAGATTTTAAAAATTATTAATATCAATTGACTACATTTAATTAATAAATTAATTTATTTTCCTGCAAGTGTAAATACCATGTCTATACACAAATATTACGCGCCCCAAAAAATATTGAAATATTTTTCCAGTTCGCATTTATTTTGAAAAATGACTCCAATACCTTTTAGCCAATAGAAAACGTACTTGTATTTGTGAATAGTAGGGGGAAAGTATATATATATATATGATGCTTTAGAAATGGTCATATGATAGATGGCACGAGGGATATTGGACGTCCGAACATAATTTCGACAAAAACACGCGCACAAAAAGGATTTTATATTTTTTTTCGTCTTTTACTTGTATGAAATATAATTCGCGATATCCAATGTCCGTTCCGATGAACTAGGATCTTAAAAGGTTTTTTTTTTTTTTTGGTGAGGGGGTCGGTGGGCGGATTAAACTACCGGACGTGCATTTAAAATAAAAAATATATTTTCGTATGACCTTATTTCGAGACATATATTATTATCGTCCGGTCGCATAGTCCGTTCGTTTTCGAAAATCTGGTAGTAAAAACAGCAATCAATTAAATTGCAAAAAAAAAAAAAAAGCTCAATTCGCATATTACATAGTTTTGCAAATTACATTTGATTACAATAACCTGCAATGTCTTATATAGAAATAACTAGAATCTAAAAACATGAATTTTTATCCAAGTAACATTGAAAACTATCTAAAAATAATTATAAATTTTACAGTGCTACAATAAACTGTACGAACAATAGTTGTACTGTTTTTTTTATATATATATATATACGTTTTAAATCATATAAAAAAAGGTGTATAATGAAAAAACAAAATAATATTATTATTATACGGTCTATAGGTGATCAATCATCATTTTAATTATAAAATGTATACTTGAAAAGTTATGTTATAACTTGAAAATAATTATTTCCTAAAGTTATTTCCGGATTATAAAAAGAATACTCATTGTACATTTGTCTACGGACCATGGTCTCATTTTTGTCGGATGTAGCATTGTACTCGGTGACTTAGAGTCGTTATACTTTTCGTTATGGGTATTAAACTACAGGAAGTACTTCTTCTTATTTTTTTTCTCTATTTAACTTTGATGCCGGGGTACTCGTAAACTCTTAAGGTCTATAGAATTTCACGTCTAATGGCCAAGGATATTAAGATACACTTAAATTTTACTCACAGCGATTCGAATGTTTGCACCAATAAATTAATACCTATACTGGCTAACTGTATACGATTTTTGCACCCAAAAACGCTAACGTACCTGCGCAATTTCAAACGCAATTTCACTATTACAAGTACAAAACAAATGTTTAAACGACGAATTATTATTTCGTACACGCCGACTACATTTATGTGTGGACAAATAATAATTATAATATATGTTTTATCGATTAATGAATACGATTTTTAAAATTAAAATATACCTATACATACGTAAACCGAATTTATTGGAAAATATATGACATGTTAAGGTTTTTTTTTTTTTGAAAGGAGAAGGGGAAAATGAAAGAATTTAAATTGTTAAAAAATGTGTTTTAATAAAATGCCATATATAAGTAAGCTTAAACATTTTTATTGATGATTTCGTTTGTTTTGGTTTTTTATTAATTTTAAATTTCATGATGTTAATATTCGGAATTTTAATATTATTTTACAATATTGTTGATTTTGTGGTATTATAAATGATCGATGGCTGACGACACGATAAAAGATAATACTATTGTTGATATATGTTAATTGACGTATACGAGACACGATTATTACTAAAAAAGTAGGTAATTATATTGATGAGCAACAGTAGTTTTATCTTTTATCGTGTCGTCAGCCGTCGATCATTTACAATATCTCAATATGAAAATGTAATATTATATTCTATCAAGCACCTAATGATCAAATGGCTAAAATAATAATACCTAGCCGATATCGCTGCTGACTTGATAATGAATATCCCGAATAACTGAAACCTGTAGTAAAATATTGTTCGTGTATTCTGTGTTACAGTTGTATATAATAACATATTTAATATTTTGAAAATAATTGTAATTATAATGAAAATATTCGAACACCCATATACAAGTACATATAATATATGAATATATGAATATATATTTGAAATATTTTATTGCGCCTACTAGAGACCTCGATAGAACACTTATTTTACTGCGTATTATTTATTTTGAATATTCGCGTTCTCCACCACGTATTGCAAGTGTATTCACGTATAAGGTATTCATGAGTTCATGAGAACTCGGATTACACGGTCTCCAGCACAAAATTTTTAATTACACGTGTACACTGTACACATGTAACCCAGTACCAACTCCCTACTTATAGTTGTCTAAAACTTTATTAAAATGGATAAAATATAGTTTTTAACAGAGTTTTAATTATAACAATAAAGGTAAAAGTGTAAAACATAATGTATTTACTAGGAAGCCATTTAGTTTGAATAATAAACAAATTAACGAAAGTTTCAACTTTTTCAAAATGTTCATGCAAATTGACTTCAATATGGAACGCGAATTCGTTCATAATTTTCAGAACGGAGTGAATTTATTCTCGGGGGATATCAAATTTAAACAACTTTTGAATTTTTTAAATAAACTACTATACGGATGCTAACGTCAGAAAGAAACAGATGCCTTCGGTTCCGAAGTCACGATTCATTTTTATAATTTAGATTATGTACTTTACAATCAGAATCGCCTATAAAGTTACGAAAATATGTGCTGCTTTACGCGCGACAAACAAGAAACAAGATTGGCGGGCATTGAAAAGTCGGCCCCTCCACACTAATAAGATCCGTACTTATTCAATTATACACCTACTTAGTTATTGTATTATTTTATACAACACGTTTTTCTCCGAGTTTTAGGAACCTATTTTCAATGGTAATTACCGTATGAGATCAGCTAATTTCTAAATGCACAGTACGTATTGCGAACATAAACGGCACGTGTTACCTATATAGTGACTTGGCATATTGTGCATAACACATTTTGTACAAATCGTAACAAGCCTTCGGTGCCTACCAAGAGTATCGATTTGGTCGAAATGTCCAAAATGTATATTTTCGCCACGTGTTAGGACTGTAAAACGTACGTACGTATTTCAGCCGGTATTACATTATATTAATATAATCGTTTTCTGCTCCGACTGTGAGGTAATTTTCCAAAGCACTTTCGTCGTGTACAACGTGTGAACTGGACCGACATAGATTTATATATATATATATATATATATATACAGGAGTTCAAATTGGGTAGATATTTATGAATTCATTTTTTGCTTGTTTTTTTTTTTTTTTTTGAAATATGAGATGCATCAACCGATCGATGAAAGTTTGTTAAAGAAATCCATAAAAAATATCTAATAATTATCGTAAAAGTACATCGCATATTGTATTTTAGTATTATCCCACCATTCCTCGGGATGTCAATTTATAGGGTTAATATTAAAATGCTCTTATTTAACATTCAAAATTTGATTTTTTTTATTCTTCATGCCTTTAAACTCCACCAGTTATTACATTATTCGCAATCAAGTGGGAGTATGTTTTTTCATTGTATTATTTACGTTTCGTAACTAGAAAACCATAAGAATGTTTTTATTCTATTCTCTATTTGTATCGTTGCGTATAAAATGACATGAACTGTTTCGATTTGATAAGATTAAAAAAAGCAGTATAATTCGTACCATGAATTGGCCGTTTTTAGTTCATTTTATATAATTATTGAGAACAACGATAAAGCACGTCGTTAACGGTCGTCAAAAACGTAGTGTTTTGGAATTTTCTGCCTTTATTTGATAAATTTGCCAAAATGTCGTAAAAAGTTCCATCTTGAAGAGGATAGAAGAGATTATTGAACAAAAAAAAAAAAAAAATTTTGTCGCTATAAATTAACTGCTGGTATACTCGCTTTTTTTGTTTTTAAACATTTCACACAAATTATTCAATTCTTTGTATTTAGAAAGAAGGGCGGGGGAATGGGGATAAAGTCTCATAATCCGATTGCATTTGCAACCAGCACGTATTACAATATATTAATTTTAGAAATTACAGAAATCAAAAATTGCTTATTATACTTTAAGTCTTGACGAGAAACTAAACATGTATTGCTATACTATTGTTACACCGTCTAAATTTGTAAACCCGTTGTTGATATCAATGCACTCGTATGAAAACATACCTTTCAAAACATTAAATTATTATATAAATTAACGTAGATCAATAAAACGGCTATTTTTAACACAATTATGATGCCCATTGAATACTCAGTTAACACAAAAAACATTTATTTTATTGAAAACGTGTGATTTGGTTTAAGAAAAGTCCTTTACAAATTTTAAGAGAACAAACGTTTTGGTATATTTTTTAAAGTTATTAATTTAATATAATATTAGGATTAAATAATTAAGTAAGTATTTTAAAATGACGGCACCTATTATTTTTTAAGTTGTATTATTACTGTAATTATAACATAAAACAATCCCTAACCACTAAAATAAAAAAAAAAAAACCGCTTGCTCGTGGTTTTGTTATGAAAATGAAATGTAATGGTACTTGTTTTTAATAGATATATCTACGTTTAAGAATTATTTTACTTGGTACTACTACATTACTTATACATATAAAAACAATATACTAAACTAGCTATAACAAAAAATGTCAAATGGATAGACAATTTTATTTTTAATGAACTCCACTGGTGAGAAGTTATACTGACAGCTCGGCAATAATAATATTAACCGGGTAAAGCAAACAGAAATTCAGTGGATAGGTAGCTGTTAGTTTCTTTTTATGTATTTTTTTTTTTTACTCACCCACGACGACAATTCGTTTTGATACAAGCGATGTTTTGAAAGAAGGCCCGTCAGTTGTTACCTCGCAGCTCAAGTTTCCGGACAAACTGAAACCGACGTCGCGCAGAACCACTTGAGTAGCATTTGATACGGACAACTGCAACAGTACGAGTTGGTTTTATCAAAATATTGTTATGTAACTCAAATACAGTTTATATATAGGCCGGATAACTTGATTAACTTTTTATTTACTTTTTATATTATATTATTATAATTGTACATAAACTATACGTGTATATTTGTTATTTCATTACATTTGTTGACCAAATGACTCGATATGAATGTATGATATGGGTACAGAAAGATTATAATTGTGATGACAAATAAGTTTCTAAATGGAAAAAAAAACTGGGAAATTGCACTGATTGTTAAACGGTTTCTTTTAATTTTCGCTATCAGAAATGCAAAAAAAAAAGTAAGGTTATGTTAGATTATTCAAATATGGATAAATCATGCTGTTGCGTTCAATAAAGTACCCTAAGTGAATATTCGTTAGGTACTAAAATGGTTACAAGTGGATATAATTTCAATTTTTACAAATATGCGTAATATTATCAATATAGTTTTATATTGGACATGGAGTTGATTAGATTTTCAACAAAAATTACAACAGAACCTATTCCGTTTATTATAACTGTACCGTATAACTATACATTTCATCATTCTGGTTAGGTTTGATTAATATTCTCTTCTGACATACTATTCCCCATGTATAGATAATTAGTATAGGAATTATCCACTCTTTGTTTTATCTAAATATATGTAAAATATAATCATTTGTATGTTTTTTTTTTTTAAACTCGAATCTTTTTAGATTAAACTTCATGTAACCCACCTTCTTAATTATCCATCTACAATAGTAGCCGCACCCGTTTCTAATATCAGTTCTTTTTTTTTCTATTTCCCCTACTTTTTCGTGAATTGGGTTTTTAATGTTACGTTTTATACATTTATTCAGATGTGAGTTTGAATATTTTTGAGTTGATATTCGTTTTATGTCACCAAAATTGCTCAATCATTTAAACATTGAGAATTTAGTGCTATAAGTCTTATATTCTATATAATATTACGAGATTTGTTAATATTTTAAATAGTATATTGATTTTTTATAGACTAAGATAAGGCGTATAGCATTTTCACTTTCGTATTCTTATAACTACTCATTTTAACATTTAAATTTGAAATCACTATTTGAGTAAATAATATTTCTAGATTAACTGCAGAGGATCAATACTAATCGAAACTTAAAATCTCGTGATTGAAATCGGCCTATTGGTCAAAATTTATTTATGGAAAAAAAAAAAATTTAAATATACGCTCGAAACACGATATTGTATATTATAGAAATCGATCAAAGAAACTCATCTATAACAATAAGTTTATAACAAGTTTTCCCGTCGTTATAGCGTACTTAACACAACGGCATTCCTCACAAAACGAAGATTTATGAACACGAGGAACTTTTGCCGCAAACGTTGCTTTCCATTCGTTTTCCATTTTCGCTCGGAGAAAATAAATTGTTCTTCACTATAAATCAAGACACAACCGCAAATATCCAATATCCAAACTCTTAGACATACGATACAATTGTTAGATCTAATTATATTACCGAAAAAGTTGTATTTGAAGTAAGTATACACGAATATATTTTCTATTATCTCGTCGTAGACACGTTACATACTTAAGTGTCACAGACAAAAATTAAATATAGTACCCAATAGTTAATGTTATCAAAGAAAAATTTTAAATTATCTAGATAAAGATAAGAGATAATCGGTACAAATGAGATATTTAATGTTTATTTTTTGCAACAATCGACGTTTATTGACAGAAGTGTAAAAATAGTAGGAGTCAAGTGCTTTTTTTGGGTAAAAATGTCATAATATTTAAAAATGGGCAGGATACAATTTCGTATACAGCATCGTCAAATTACGAAACAAATTTCGGTATAACTAGCTATTTTTTTGACCAACAAATAAAAATATGCAAATGCATACGAGTGCTGGCCCAAGTTATAATATTAATCATAAGCATCGTTGTAGTTTTAATTTGTTTATACCTGCGCATTTCACATTGCTCATATAAAAATGGCAATTTATATTATTTATTAGATAAATAAATTAGTTTTCGCATATAATTATAGTTTTACTTTTATCACACTAGTATTATAATTTGTTAATTGGATAGTTGAACCATCACTAAAACTTCAATATTGTGAGTAATATTTTATTGTTAGTAATATTTTTATGGAAGGTCAAATCTATTTAAAGTTTATACTATATTAATTTCACTCATACTGTAGTAATATAAATATTACAATAGTATTACTAGACCAAACGTAATAATAATGACATATTATTATTATTATTATTATTCGTGTAGACAAATTGCCTAATGCCGTTCAAAAATAAAAATAACATTAAATTAGTCTGAAGTTTAAATGTAATGTTTCAATTAATTTTTTTTATAATGATAATAATATTATTACAAAACGTTATAATAAAATAATACATCAATCACAGATGTTTGAATCAAAAGCCGTAAGTATTTATTAAAAATAAAAATATTATAGTAACAATTATAGCAAATGTAAATTAGAGTACAAGCGCCCTTCTGAAAAAAAAAAAAAAAAAAATCAGAGCTGAGCGACAAAAAACGGTAAGTTTTAACAAAAATTCATTGTGTTTAGAAATTAACAAACATTGTCAATATAACTAGCGTCAGGCCATCAAAGTAACATAAAATGGAAATTGAAATATGTAATAACTTCGTTTCTAAAGCTTAAATAAATACCGAAGCGCCGATGCCAAAATTAAGAACAAACGAAAATTTCGTTTCTGCTCTCCCGAGAAGGAATAAAACTGACGCTTAGCCCGTTTTGCATTTTATCAGTCGATTTATTTTAATGGAAACTCGTACGAGGTTCTATTTTTGGAAATCTCTAATCTTAATAATTAAATCACCTCTATTATTTGTCGCTGTGTTTGCAGTGTTGATAGTGGTAATGTTCTCGAACAAACAAATTTCTCAACAGTTATCACAACGCATACACGAGAACGAATAAACTATCCGTCTAATTTCATTATATGTATCATAATAATATCGTTTTCGTCATGTTATAACGCAATGCCGTTTTAGGGCGACACAAAATAGCGCATTCTCCTCTTCGCGCGTAGAAACTTTTTTTTTTTTCTTTCCAAAAACTACTTTCTAAATAATATTTTTTTTTTTTTTATTTGAAAACTGAAAACGGAATTACGAAGAAAAAATCATACGCCTCCGGCTAGTTTTCGCGAGTTTTCGCATGCGCGTGGAAAGTCGAAATGCCTATATATTATTCACCGCGTGCGTAACCTAACCGCAGGTACATTTCGCATCGCGTGTATAAATGAATAAACATGTTTATACCGTGAACAACAGTGTTGAATACATTTGCCAACACAAAACCAAAAGGTACGGTTCGGGAAAAACTCCGATTTTCCGATAATGTTACAATGCAGTTTTATCTCTGTACGATTTGTGTACACGCGTGTGCATAGTTTGATGATCGCGGCGAGAGTCGTGCCAAAACGCGTACGGATTTTCGTATGCAGGTAACAATATCAATTTTCTGCAATATTCTATTGGAGTTTTTCAATAATTGGAATTGAATCGCCGCTATTCGAATACAATTTCTACGGTCTTGCTGTTTTAAAATAGCTCAAATCCGCTAAAAATCGAACTCCCGCACGTTAGTCTCCGCCGAAAATTTGAAAAACTCACATGCCTACCCTGTATCATTTCCTATACTTACCAAACGACCCGTCCGTAATAGTGACATAGTTCCACGGTGCGAAGCTCGTCCGATATTATATATTTTTACATTGTACCTATACGGAATATGGTATTTTATTTATTTTGTTTTGTTTTTTTTTTTTTTTTTTGGAATACTAATATTTAATTTGCTTTGGAAATATAATAGGTACCTACCTATACGTATTATGATAGGTTTCCAAGAGTCATTTTTTTTTTAACCCCTTGTGTACCTACTTAATTATAAATTATATTATATAATGTAAGAAAAATTAAAAAAGAATACAAAAATGCAACGAATATTTGCGTTAACGTTCCTCATAAATAAGAACTCTTTCACATTGCTCGTTCTTTTATTTTAAAAAAAAAAAAAAAAACAACGCGTTCTTGCCCGTAAAATGAACGTGTTTCTTTCCAACACTGTAATATATTACTATCGTACCAACACGATCGATATTTTAAATAATTCTAAAAAATGTATATGCATACCCGGTGTCGTCCTTAGGATTTGCAAGACCCTGGGCAATAATTTATCGTATTATAAAATTAGTATTTATTATTATTTTTTTTTTTTTTTTTTAAACGCGAGGCCTTAAATTTAAGTAAATAGGGCACGGCCTAGGGGTCTGGGCTCTGCTCGATCGTGCCCTAAGGACGGTGCTGTACCTAACTGATAAAAAACGTCGTTTTCACGTTCTTTTGAATATTAGTACTATCGTATTATTGTTGTAATATTTTGATTAATGGCTGATTAATAGTTTTCATGTATGGCAACTCGGAGAAACACATTGTATATAGTATGTACATAACGTTATAATTTATCGTTTTTGTCGCTATTATTATTTTGGTTTCTGAGTTACATTATTTTAACGAAGACAAATTGTATGTTAAAGGAAGCCAGTTTAATAAAACATATTTTATAAAATACAAGGATACATTATTGGACGCGAACGAAATCATATTACTATGTGGTCTTTACATGGTATATTATTCTCCTTTGCTTTCATTCTAACTATTTGGGGTCCGCCAAAGTCGTAACATTTATTACAAATAAAATTTATTTAATTTCCCGAGAGTGATAATTCGGATTTGTGTTTTAAAACATTTTCCGGATGGGTTACGACGGTCGACGGGCTTATAGAGTATTTTGTTGTTATTTCAGTTATTTGCTATTTAAAAAAATGTAAACAATTGTAATTCATTGCATATACCAAAGACGATTCGAAGTGGAAAATTTTCAATTTAAAATTATTGTATTTTGTCCGATCGGTATTTTTTCTTTTCAACATCATCAGGAAAATTCGAGTAGTTTAAATTTCGTTAAGTTTGTAATTTATGTAATTTATTGCGTGTGTAATTTATTTTATTTTTCTGCTTGTAAAATTTCATATTAGACAAAAATCGTATACTTTTTGTTACTTATTAATCTAGAAAAAAAAAAGGAAATTCATTGGTCTTATTTGTATTTTGCCCATATGTATAATACAACAAAATTATATATACACTATGCGCTTTTTTTAATGATTAAGTTGTAAACAGTATTTACCAAAGGTTCGGTCAGCTTGGTAACAGAATCGAGGCTAAAATTATTGACATACGATTCGTCGTAAATATATTCTGAGTGATTGACATAAGTTGTCATAATTATAGGCGTTTTACGTTTCAATTTATAATTCAATTCATTGAAAACGCGGACAAAAAACAATTCTAAATTTTTTGTAGTCTGATTATGGTAATGATAGATTTTATTGTTTTCAGTGGCCAATCATTTTAACCTTATACCAGAACCCGTTGGTCTTCAAACTGTGGTCGGGCGGTCGTTGTTGTACAGATGTTGAATGGTGATTGAGTGGCAGACGGTCTAATGAATCCCTGGTAAAATTTTCGATTTCAAACCCATTACAATAAAAAAATCATCTTAAAAGAAATCGAAAATATTAGATGGGTTTTTATATTTCTAAAGCCAGAAATTTAAATTGTATGCCAGGAAATCAGAAGTGGTAGTCGATCGTCGAAACGCGGTCACATAGGGGCTTGATAGGCCGTTAATGGACGTTCGCCATCCCGACGACTGACGGCTTCTGAAATCCTTGTACAACTGGTATACGATTTCAATATTCGCCCTAAAACCGTATCAACTACTTCAATAAAGTTATAAAATGAATATAATTTTAGTTAAAATTTAACGAAAATTGTTCGGGATGAAAAAATGTAAACTGACTTATATTCTATTACCGTTCCAATACTTTCCTTTACTTTCTTACTATCGGTTTTTGATTTAAATAATTGTGTTTTACGATTGAAAATTCGAGTTTTTTCGAAATTATAAACCTTTCGAATTTTTACCGTTAGCAGCGATCATCCCTATTAGCTCTTCTCAAATGCGGGCCTTCCTATATACAATAACAGTAATAATTATTATGCAACGCAAAGCGCTTGTTGTACGCTCAATAGAGTTTATACAGAAAGTTTTAAACCCCTGAACACGTACTTGCAGAATACAGGATTAAATATCGTGAGTCAAGTTTTCTCTTTCAATCCTACTCTATAAAAAGTGAACTGCGTGACGGGATCCGAAGTTAAATGATAGTAAATGTAACGTTCTAGCCGGCTTAGTTGAACAATTTTCCAATAGCAGTTCGTTTCAGGTTTTTTTTTTTTTGTTATACTCTACAGTATTTTCGTATTATATATTTTTTTGTTTA